TCCCCGGACTGTGCCCTCTGTCTGTGCTCCTTGTCGTCCTGTACCAGGTCCCCGGACTGTGTCCTCTGTCTGTGCTCCTTGTCGTCCTGTACCAGGTCCCCGGACTGTGCCCTCTGTCTGCGCTCCTTGTCGTCCAGTACCAGGTCCCCGGACTGTGCCCTCTGTCTGCGCTCCTTGTCGTCCTGTACCAGGTCCCCGGACTGTGTCCTCTGTCTGTGCTCCTTGTCGTCCTGTACCAGGTCCCCGGACTGTGTCCTCTGTCTGTGCTCCTTGTCGTCCTGTACCAGGTCCCCGGACTGTGTCCTCTGTCTGTGCTCCTTGTCGTCCTGTACCAGGTCCCCGGACTGTGCCCTCTGTCTGTGCTCCTTGTCGTCCTGTACCAGGTCCCCGGACTGTGCCCTCTGTCTGTGCTCCTTGTCGTCCTGTACCAGGTCCCCGGACTGTGTCCTCTGTCTGTGCTCCTTGTCGTCCTGTACCAGGTCCCCGGACTGTGCCCTCTGTCTGCGCTCCTTGTCGTCCTGTACCAGGTCCCCGGACTGTGCCCTCTGTCTGTGCTCCTTGTCGTCCTGTACCAGGTCCCCGGACTGTGTCCTCTGTCTGTGCTCCTTGTCGTCCTGTACCAGGTCCCCGGACTGTGTCCTCTGTCTGTGCTCCTTGTCGTCCAGCACTACATTCCCCGACTGTGTCCTCTGTCTGTGCTCCTTGTCGTCCTGTACCAGGTCCCCGGACTGTGCCCTCTGTCTGTGCTCCTTGTCGTCCTGTACCAGGTCCCCGGACTGACGGACTGTGTCTGTGCTCCTTGTCGTCCTGTACCAGGTCCCCGGACTGTGTCCTCTGTCTATGCTCCTTGTCGTCCTGTTATATTTCTTGTTTATTTGTTTCAGTTATTTTAATACTAATGTTTATAATGTTTCAGAATGTTTTAACCTCAGTGTGATTAAGTCTAAATGAACAAAGAGTTTTACTTATACTTCATTTAATCACACTGAGGTTAAAACATTCTCAAATTATTTGTTATATAGTAGTGTTGAAAGTATTAAAACTCTATTAAAAAGTTCATCTCTCAACGCAATTGTTAATAACAATGAATCAGTGTCAGATTCAGAAGGGTGTGCTAACCATGATGACAACTTCGTAGTAGCTGCCCCATTTCAATTCTCCTGTTATTTCTGCGGTGGGCCCAAACCGCACACAAACAGACAGGCCTGTCCTGCTTTTAACTCTAACTGCAACGGTTGTGGAATTCAGGGACATTTCCAGAAAGTCTGCAAAGCCGGTCGCCAATCTCAAGTTCGGGGCGGCAGTGCCCGCGGCAAGAATCGACGTAACAATCAATATCGTAGCTCTCAGAATATGACATCATCAGCAGTCCCTCACAGTAGCTCTCAATCCCAAAACGGGACATCATCGGCTCTTCACAACCATTATCTTGCAGCTTCGCCTCCATGCTTGTCCAAGAGTATTACCAGAGTCCTTGTCAATGGAAGAGAGCTTGATGCCTTGGTAGATTCTGGAAGTTCAGCAACTTTTCTCAGTAATGCCAGTGTCCGGAAGCATCAATGGGACATTAATCGCGGAGACCATGCACCTGTCAGTATGGCCTCTTCATCCCACATCTCTCATCCTGTCGGTCACTGTACAGTAGATGTTCATTTCAATGGTGAATTATTACCAAATCAAACGATTGTGGTAATGAAGGACTTATGTGCTGATATGATCATAGGACTAGATATCCTTTCTGATTACAAATCCGTGACATTGGAGTTTGGAGGCCACAAACCTCCTACTATTGTATCTGCAGCTGCTTGTCTCATCAAAACACCTAAGCTCTTTGGACAATTAGAGGGAGACAGCCACCCTATAAGTATCAAATCAGGGAGATATTCTAACATTGATAAAACATTTATCAGAGTCGAGGTTAAAAAGCTGCTAGAAGCAGGAATCATTAAAGAGTGCGAGTCTCCATGGAGAGCCCAGGTCCTGGTCCACCAAGGGAATGAGAATCACAAGAAACGCCTTGTCATCGATTACTCCCAAACGATAAACAGATTTACTAAATTGGATGCTTATCCAGTCCCTCGAATCGACGAGATGGTAGAAGATATCTCAAAGCGCAAGTACTACAGTACACTTGATCTCTCATCTGCTTACCACCAGGTCCCTATTGCCGAAGACGAGCAAGAATATACCGCTTTCGAAGCTGATGGTAAGCTCTACTGTTTCATGTTTATCCCTTTCGGGGTGACTAACGGAGTGTCTGCCTTTCAAAGAACTGTCAACGATATCATAGCTGCAGAACACCTATCTGGTGTATACGTATATGTTGATAATATCACCATCGTAGGCATGACTAAGGAGGAGCATGATAATAACCTAGCAGAATTCCTTACAGCTGCTGCTAAGTACAATCTTGAATTTAATGATAGTAAAACAGTGTCCGGGGTCACTTCGATTAAGCTTCTTGGATATCTTGTTAGTCATAATTCCATAAAGCCCGATCCTGACAGAATACAACCTCTCCTGGGTATGCCTGCACCCAACAATGACAAATCCCTAAAGAGTGTACTTGGCTTGTTCGCTCATTACTCTAGGTGGGTCAAGAACTTTTCAGACAAGATTCACCCCCTGTCCCATGTCACTTCATTTCCTCTCAATGACAAACAGATAAAAGCATTTCAACTGTTAAAATCTGAAATTGCCAAAGCTGTCCTGGCCACGCCTGATCCTAATCTTCCTTTTACTCTAGAAACGGATGCATCAGACTATGCAATTGGCGCTACTCTCTGTCAATCCACTCGACCGATTGCATTCTTCTCCAGAACTCTTAACTCATCGGAGCGCAATCATCACTCAGTAGAGAAAGAAGCTTACGCTATCGTGGAGGCAATTCGTAAATGGAAACACTACCTCCTAGGGTCCCAATTCACTGTCATCACGGATCAACAGTCAGTTTCCTTCATGTTCGGTCTCTTAAACCATGGTAAAATTAAGAACGATAAAATAACCCGTTGGAGGATCGAACTTTCGCCTTATGCATTTGACATTATGCACAGGCCTGGAAAAGATAACCTTCCAGCCGATGCTTTATCTCGATTAGTGTATCCTCATTGCTCAGCGATCACTAGTCTAAAAGCCTTACATGATCAGCTTTGCCATCCAGGAGTAACGCGTATGTCTCACTTTGTTCGCTCTCGGAATCTTCCTTTCTCTGTGGAAGATATTAAGAAAATGACAAGATCCTGCAGGGATTGTGCCGAGGTTAAGCCACGTTATTTTAAACCTCAACAGCCCCAGCATCTTATAAAAGCTACGGCCCCATTTGAGCGTTTGAACCTGGATTTCAAGGGACCACTCCCAACAAACACGAAAAACAAATTCATCCTCACTATCGTAGATGAATATTCTCGCTACCCCTTTGCTTTTCCCTGTACCGACACTTCCACCGATTCTGTCAAAAGCTGTCTAACGTCAATCTTTGGAGTATTTGGCATGCCGTCCTTCATTCACTCCGATCAGGGTAGTGGGTTCATGTCTGCAGAACTCAAGAAATGGCTACTAGAAAAAGGCATTGCTACAAGCCGTTCTTCACGTTTTAATCCCCAAGGAAACGGTCAAGTGGAGAAATACAATGGAACAGTGTGGAAGGCTGTACAATTAGCCTTAAGGACGAGAAAACTTCCACTAAAACTTTGGGAGCAGGTGATTACTGATGCTTTACATTCTATACGGTCCCTCCTATGCACTGCAACTAACGATACCCCTCACGAACGTGTGTTTAATTTTCCTCGTAAATCAACAACTGGTAGCTCTCTTCCTGGGTGGCTAACAGATAACTCTAAAGCACTAATGAAACGTCACACCAATCGATCAAAGTACGATCCTCTCGTAGAAGAAGTGGAGCTTCTGGACGTCAATCCTAACACCAGTCATGTCAGAACTGGAGAAGGGGTAGAGCTGACGGTCTCCAATAAACACCTAGCTCCTATTGGTGATGATTCCCGGCCTAATGCTTTTGACAATATTGTGACTTCCGATGTTCATGACAGTATTGTGCCTTCAGATAATGTGATTAATGAAAACGAAAGTAATAATGAGGCTGTAACCAAAACTATTGACAATCCTATAAGACTGCGTAGATCTGGTAGAGACAGAACTCCCACAGTGTTGTATCCATCACCTGATAGCACGTCTAGTAACTCTGGCTATCAGTAAACATTTCATATTCACGGTTTTCATATTTACGTTTCATACTTATGTTTCACATTCATGTTTCATATTCACCTGAATTGGGTATTTCCGAAGTAGATGTTTTTCTCTTTATTAGAATTGAATTCTGATTGTTTTGTATTCCGTTCAATAGAGCGTGACTGACGTATTTATTATATTTAGCCTGTCGGAGGTTTAATTGAATTTTTACCCGAGTAGGGAAATCGGCATTATTCTTAGATCCTGTGTTAGGAAGGTAATTTATATTTGTGCCGTGCACATTTTAAATTGGCACTTTGAAAGGGTCTACTCTAGGACGCCATCTTAGGTCAAAGTTTTTGTAAGCACTTCTGTTTTAAACTTTGCGCGCGCACGCGCACGGGATCACTTTTCGATCTTGATTTTGTAGTTGTGTTTATTTATTCGGGGAGATTGTTATATTTCTTGTTTATTTGTTTCAGTTATTTTAATACTAATGTTTATAATGTTTCAGAATGTTTTAACCTCAGTGTGATTAAGTCTAAATGAACAAAGAGTTTTACTTATACTTCAACCAGGTCCCCGGACTGTGCCCTCTGTCTGTGCTCCTTGTCGTCCTGTACCAGGTCCCCGGACTGTGTCCTCTGTCTGTGCTCCTTGTCGTCCTGTACCAGGTCCCCGGACTGTGTCCTCTGTCTGTGCTCCTTGTCGTCCTGTACCAGGTCCCCGGACTGTGTCCTCTGTCTGTGCTCCTTGTCGTCCAGCACTACATTCCCCGGACTGTGTCCTCTGTCTGTGCTCCTTGTCGTCCAGCACTACATCCCCCGGACTGTGCCCTCTGTCTGTGCTCCTTGTCGTCCAGCACTACATTCCCCGGACTGTGCCCTCTGTCTGTGCTCCTTGTCGTCCTGTACCAGGTCCCCGGACTGTCCCCTCTGTCTGTGCTCCTTGTCGTCCTGTACCAGGTCCCCGGACTGTGCCCTCTGTCTGTGCTCCTTGTCGTCCTGTACCAGGTCCCCGGACTGTGTCCTCTGTCTGTGCTCCTTGTCGTCCTGTACCAGGTCCCCGGACTGTGCCCTCTGTCTGTGCTCCTTGTCGTCCTGTACCAGGTCCCCGGACTGTGTCCTCTGTCTGTGCTCCTTGTCGTCCTGTACCAGGTCCCCGGACTGTGCCCTCTGTCTGCGCTCCTTGTCGTCCAGTACCAGGTCCCCGGACTGTGCCCTCTGTCTGCGCTCCTTGTCGTCCTGTACCAGGTCCCCGGACTGTGTCCTCTGTCTGTGCTCCTTGTCGTCCTGTACCAGGTCCCCGGACTGTGCCCTCTGTCTGTGCTCCTTGTCGTCCTGTACCAGGTCCCCGGACTGTGCCCTCTGTCTGTGCTCCTTGTCGTCCTGTACCAGGTCCCCGGACTGTGCCCTCTGTCTGTGCTCCTTGTCGTCCTGTACCAGGTCCCCGGACTGTGCCCTCTGTCTGTGCTCCTTGTCGTCCTGTACCAGGTCCCCGGACTGTGCCCTCTGTCTGCGCTCCTTGTCGTCCTGTACCAGGTCCCCGGACTGTGTCCTCTGTCTGTGCTCCTTGTCGTCCTGTAGCAGGTCCCCGGACTGTGTCCTCTGTCTGTGCTCCTTGTCGTCCTGTACCAGGTCCCCCGACTGTGTCCTCTGTCTGTGCTCCTTGTCGTCCTGTACCAGGTCCCCGGACTGTGTCCTCTGTCTGTGCTCCTTGTCGTCCTGTACCAGGTCCCCGGACTGTGTCCTCTGTCTGTGCTCCTTGTCGTCCAGCACTACATCCTCCGACTGTGTCCTCTGTCTGTGCTCCTTGTCGTCCTGTACCAGGTCCCCGGACTGTGTCCTCTGTCTGTGCTCCTTGTCGTCCTGTACCAGGTCCCCGGACTGACGGACTGTGTCCTCTGTCTGTGCTCCTTGTCGTCCAGCACTACATTCCCCGACTGTGTCCTCTGTCTGTGCTCCTTGTCGTCCTGTACCAGGTCCCCCGACTGTGTCCTCTGTCTGTGCTCCTTGTCGTCCAGCACTACATCCTCCGACTGTGTCCTCTGTCTGTGCTCCTTGTCGTCCTGTACCAGGTCCCCCGACTGTGTCCTCTGTCTGTGCTCCTTGTCGTCCTGTACCAGGTCCCCGGACTGACGGACTGTGTCCTCTGTCTGCGCTCCTTGTCGTCCTGTACCAGGTCCCCGGACTGACGGACTGTGTCCTCTGTCTGCGCTCCTTGTCGTCCAGCACTACATTCCCCGACTGTGTCCTCCGTCTGTGCTCCTTGTCGTCCTGTACCAGGTCCCCGGACTGTGTCCTCTGTCTGTGCTCCTTGTCGTCCTGTACCAGGTCCCCGGACTGACGGACTGTGTCCTCTGTCTGTGCTCCTTGTCGTCCAGCACTACATTCCCCGACTGTGTCCTCTGTCTGTGCTCCTTGTCGTCCTGTACCAGGTCCCCCGACTGTGTCCTCTGTCTGTGCTCCTTGTCGTCCAGCACTACATCCTCCGACTGTGTCCTCTGTCTGTGCTCCTTGTCGTCCTGTACCAGGTCCCCCGACTGTGTCCTCTGTCTGTGCTCCTTGTCGTCCTGTACCAGGTCCCCGGACTGACGGACTGTGTCCTCTGTCTGCGCTCCTTGTCGTCCTGTACCAGGTCCCCGGACTGACGGACTGTGTCCTCTGTCTGCGCTCCTTGTCGTCCAGCACTACATTCCCCGACTGTGTCCTCTGTCTGTGCTCCTTGTCGTCCTGTACCAGGTCCCCGGACTGTGTCCTCTGTCTGTGCTCCTTGTCGTCCTGTACCAGGTCCCCGGACTGTGTCCTCTGTCTGTGCTCCTTGTCGTCCTGTACCAGGTCCCCGGACTGTGTCCTCTGTCTGTGCTCCTTGTCGTCCTGTACCAGGTCCCCGGACTGTGCCCTCTGTCTGCGCTCCTTGTCGTCCTGTACCAGGTCCCCGGACTGTGCCCTCTGTCTGCGCTCCTTGTCGTCCTGTACCAGGTCCCCGGACTGACGGACTGTGCCCTCTGTCTGTGCTCCTTGTCGTCCTGTACCAGGTCCCCGGACTGTGCCCTCTGTCTGTGCTCCTTGTCGTCCTGTACCAGGTCCCCGGACTGTGTCCTCTGTCTGTGCTCCTTGTCGTCCTGTACCAGGTCCCCGGACTGTGTCCTCTGTCTGTGCTCCTTGTCGTCCTGTACCAGGTCCCCGGACTGTGCCCTCTGTCTGCGCTCCTTGTCGTCCTGTACCAGGTCCCCGGACTGTGTCCTCTGTCTGTGCTCCTTGTCGTCCTGTACCAGGTCCCCGGACTGTGTCCTCTGTCTGTGCTCCTTGTCGTCCTGTACCAGGTCCCCGGACTGTGTCCTCTGTCTGTGCTCCTTGTCGTCCTGTACCAGGTCCCCGGACTGTGTCCTCTGTCTGTGCTCCTTGTCGTCCTGTACCAGGTCCCCGGACTGTGTCCTCTGTCTGTGCTCCTTGTCGTCCTGTACCAGGTCCCCGGACTGTGCCCTCTGTCTGTGCTCCTTGTCGTCCTGTACCAGGTCCCCGGACTGTGTCCTCTGTCTGTGCTCCTTGTCGTCCTGTACCAGGTCCCCGGACTGTGTCCTCTGTCTGTGCTCCTTGTCGTCCTGTACCAGGTCCCCGGACTGTGCCCTCTGTCTGTGCTCCTTGTCGTCCTGTACCAGGTCCCCGGACTGTGTCCTCTGTCTGTGCTCCTTGTCGTCCTGTACCAGGTCCCCGGACTGTGTCCTCTGTCTGTGCTCCTTGTCGTCCTGTACCAGGTCCCCGGACTGTGTCCTCTGTCTGTGCTCCTTGTCGTCCTGTACCAGGTCCCCGGACTGTGTCCTCTGTCTGTGCTCCTTGTCGTCCTGTAGCAGGTCCCCGGACTGTGTCCTCTGTCTGTGCTCCTTGTCGTCCTGTACCAGGTCCCCGGACTGTGTCCTCTGTCTGTGCTCCTTGTCGTCGTGTACCAGGTCCCCGGACTGACGGACTGTGTCCTCTGTCTGTGCTCCTTGTCGTCCAGCACTACATTCCCCGACTGTGTCCTCTGTCTGTGCTCCTTGTCGTCCAGCACTACATTCCCCGACTGTGTCCTCTGTCTGTGCTCCTTGTCGTCCTGTACCAGGTCCCCGGACTGTGTCCTCTGTCTGTGCTCCTTGTCGTCCTGTACCAGGTCCCCGGACTGTGCCCTCTGTCTGTGCTCCTTGTCGTCCTGTACCAGGTCCCCGGGCTGTGCCCTCTGTCTGTGCTCCTTGTCGTCCTGTACCAGGTCCCCGGACTGTGTCCTCTGTCTGTGCTCCTTGTCGTCCTGTACCAGGTCCCCGGACTGTGTCCTCTGTCTGTGCTCCTTGTCGTCCTGTACCAGGTCCCCGGACTGTGTCCTCTGTCTGTGCTCCTTGTCGTCCTGTACCAGGTCCCCGGACTGTGTCCTCTGTCTGTGCTCCTTGTCGTCCAGCACTACATTCCCCGACTGTGTTCTCTGTCTGTGCTCCTTGTCGTCCTGTACCAGGTCCCCGGACTGTGTCCTCTGTCTGTGCTCCTTGTCGTCCTGTACCAGGTCCCCGGACTGTGTCCTCTGTCTGCGCTCCTTGTCGTCCTGTACCAGGTCCCCGGACTGTGCCCTCTGTCTGCGCTCCTTGTCGTCCTGTACCAGGTCCCCGGACTGTGTCCTCTGTCTGCGCTCCTTGTCGTCCTGTACCAGGTCCCCGAACTGTGCCCTCTGTCTGCGCTCCTTGTCGTCCTGTACCAGGTCCCCGGACTGTGTCCTCTGTCTGTGCTCCTTGTCGTCCTGTACCAGGTCCCCGGACTGTGCCCTCTGTCTGTGCTCCTTGTCGTCCAGTACCAGGTCCCCCGACTGTGTCCTCTGTCTGTGCTCCTTGTCGTCCTGTACCAGGTCCCCGGACTGTGTCCTCTGTCTGTGCTCCTTGTCGTCCTGTACCAGGTCCCCGGACTGTGCCCTCTGTCTGTGCTCCTTGTCGTCCTGTACCAGGTCCCCGGACTGTGTCCTCTGTCTGTGCTCCTTGTCGTCCTGTACCAGGTCCCCGGACTGTGCCCTCTGTCTCTAATCCCTCTCACCACCCTGGAACGGGTCTCTGGAGGGGGTGTTCTGTCTATAATCTAGTTTGTTGAAGATGTTGAAGTCTACCCCTGAATCAGGAACATTACTGTTTCGAGCGAGGAAGAAACCGTTGAACGCGTTTTCTTGTCCTCCTCTATGATTCTTAGAGTTGTAGTTTCCCCTCAGAGTGATCATTTCCTGCTCCCCTGACAAATGTTCACCTTTAGCAAGACCCCGCCAGTCCTGTAACGCAAACATATGTCTCCCGTTATTGCTGAACTTACCAGACGAATAAACACAACGTACAAGGTTAGCATGTTTAGTGAAGGATGAAAGTTTGTACTCTAGGTAGGGTCAGATCATGTGTTACTGAGGGTTACGTGGAATGGATGCTTTGGCCATGTTCGTACTACACGCCTTTTGTCAGAGCAACAAAGACGGGATTGCTATTGTCCAGACATTTGCGGTTTAATTTATCAATTTACTCCTCAATCCTCATCTATCCCTCCTGGACACGCACCATTATTACGTATCTGAAGCTGAGCCACGAATCTCACTGCCCATTATATTGTTTCTAAAGTAGTTTGTTTGAGAACCAAACAGTGAACAACTACCTACGTCATGCACGGTATATTAACGTCATGATTACGTCATACACGGTATATTAACGTCATGATTACGTCATGCACGGTATATTAACGTCGTGATTGACAATTAAATTATACATGGGTATGCAGGGATGCACTTCTGTTCAAACTGGGCAACATGGGTCTCTCAGGCAATTTCTTCACTTGCATCAGCCACATGTATAACAACTCGTCAACCCGAGTTAAGCTGATCCAAAAGCTCTCCGCTGCTATCGACGTTACCATCGGCACAGAACAAGGGCACCCGATGTCCCCTGAGCTCTTCAAAGTTTATATCCACGAGCTTTCCATCAGACTGGAACAAATCGAAGAGTTGAATGTCCCAATTTTAAACGGCATCAAAGTAAGCCACCTCCTATGGGCTGACGACTTAGTCCTCCTAGCACTTGACGCGTTCAGCCTACAATCGTTGCTGAATTGCTTGCACGACTATGCAGAAAAATGGGAGTTATCAGTTAACATCGACAAAACCAGTGTGATGGTCTTCAATACAAGCTCACGAACACTTAAATGTTCTTATGGCTTTAAACTAGGAAGCCTGGACATTATACCAGTAAAAAGATACTGCTATCTCGGAATCCAATTCTCTCTGAATGGATCGTTTAAGCAAGCTATTGACGAACTTAGGAAGAAAGCTCTACGCTCATTCTTCTCAATGAGGCGAATTATCAACACGAAAGCGCTCACTACCAGCACGATGCTTAAACTCATCGATAGTCTAGTAAAGCCTGTAGCGACCTATGCATGTCCCGTCTGGCTCTCATCAACAAACATCGTAAAGGCTATCCTGTCGAAAAAAGAAGAAGTGAGCCTGCCTAAATCTGCAGCTAAAGATCCGCTCGAAACAACTCACCTGAAGATTCTCAAATGGATACTAGGCGTTCACAAGAAAGCTAATAACAACTTCTGCTATGGTGACACTGGTAGAACCCCCTGGACAGTTACCGTCATTCCCCAATGTTTAGCTTACTTCCATCGGGCATCCCTGGCGGTAGAAGGTAACGTGAACACTCTTTTGCACCACACCTTTCAAGAGCAAAAGCTACTGAATCTAACCTGGTATGATGCGTGGTCAACTATTGCCAAGATGAGTACAGTCTCCAAGCCGCAGTTATCACCCACCCTAGACGCTTGTGAGTACATACATGAGACATTTGTTGACCATTGGAAGAGAGATCTCCTCAACCAGCCCAAAATGTCTTTCTACACAGCGGTTAAATTCGAGTTTGGCGAAGAACCCTATTTACAGCTCCCCTGCCGGCTTAAAAGGGTCAATATTGCTAAACTCCGATCTAGCAGTCACGATCTTAGGATAGAAAAAGGTCGCTACACCAAAGATCAACTCAACACAGCTCTTAAAACGTGTCGCTTCTGCTGCTCCTCAGAAACGGATGTCATACGTTTTTTAGAGGAGCTCCCCTTCTTTGAAACTCCTATTCTAGAAACCGAAGACCACGTCCTAACTGAGTGCCCCTACTACCATCAACTCAGGTCCAACCTCTCTGACAACCTCAAAAGCCTGTTGATGCTAAAAGAATATGGAGCAATAATGAACTCACCCCATATAAAAGAGTTCGGGAAGTACCTTACAGACTCCTCAAATCTACGTAATCCTCCTAAAACGTCCCTTAACCCTCGCAAACAGATGTAGTACTCGAACTTTATTTACTGTATTACCTTAAATTATTATAGACGATCTTCTTTTATTTTCGTGAAATTGTAAACGGTTAAATTTTTCTATTTTGAAATGATTCAGTTTTGATAATTTTATTTATTCATTTATTCATTCTTGTATAGCCAAGACGAGTCCGTTAGTGTTCTCTCTGGTAATTTCATGTTTAATCCTGTTTAATCCTGTTTAATCCATGGGTGACGATACATATTGTATGACGATATAGTTACAGTGTTATAGTAACTTTTGTGTTATATTACTTCTAACTCCTACCATTTAAAAGTAAAACAACCATATTGCAGATCTTCATTGTGCATACGAACTCACGAATTTAACAAGTACTGGATTGTACTGGAGTTAAATAGAACTGCTGAGTAAATAACAAAACAGATGTTCGAATTATTGTCGTATGGTTTGTAGTGGATTTATCTATCATATTGCTATATTGGATTTCGTTCGGCTCCGTCAATTTAACGTTCCGTTTCTAGTTTATAAGGATTTTTTATCAGTTTGGTTTTGGTTGCTTAAATAGGATTGGACAGGTAGAAGAGTTGCCGCTGTTCAGTATACAGAAAATCAAGTGGTCTATCTACATGTTATATATAAATCATGGAATGGACTAAAAAGATTAAAGTTGTTCCTATCTACCAAACGTGAGTTCTGCCTTTAAGTATAAATTTGAGAAATAGGGGCCGACCAGACCGACACTTTCTAACCGGATCAGCAATAATAAATTCAGAGTAATTCAAACAATCAGACACAACTATAATTATTGTAAAATGCTAGTTGATAAGCAAGACCCTGACCAATGGGTGCACTTCTTTAAAAGTTTAGTCATAATTTGTCGGGATCGAGCACTACGGCAGAGTTTTATGCATATGCAATGGTTGTCATGGTAACGAACAATGGAGTCCAAGTGGCTTCCCCAGAGTAACGGACATCCCCTCAGTCATCAAGGGACACCTGCACTTACAAACCCTTTCTTCGTAATAAATGATCTCCTGAGAAAAATAAGAAGGTGAATTCTTATATAGCAAAATGCAGAGCCAGCAGTTAATTCTTGTAAAGAAACCGGACTGTATGATGAGGCTGGTCGGCTCCTCACGAGGCTGGTCGGCTCCTATGATATTAATGATACTTTAATCAACCTAACAACCTTAAAACTATGCTATCAAGCATAAATGAGCAGTATCTCATAATCAAGCATAATATAGGACGTGTCTTAAAGAATTAAATCGAGTTACTTGACTAGTTGACTGTTGACTTATCGGGTTATTTAGATTCGAATAGATCAATTGTTGAATGAATTGTAATTTTAAAAAGCAAACTGGACGCTTTTATAATTTATTTACTTTAACGAGTTAGATTCATGTGCATATATTTAACAACATTAATAAGCCGAAACGAATTCTGACGAATTCAGCCGTCACGGCGACAAACTTGAAAGTTTCATTTTTAAATGGGACTCACATATATTATATACAAGGAAAAACTTGGACTTCCCCTTACCGAATATTCGAGGGATTGTATCACACCCGGAGTTGGCACGAAGACTGATGATCGAATGCTTCATGAAGGGCTTTTCCTTGATGCTATCAGTAAGGAGGGCTATATCCCAGCTCCATTTCTTGGTCTGGAAGTACAGCTTTCCTGCTGCAGGCACATGCATCTTGGTGCGCTGTAGGAGTAGCACTATGAGATCGGTATCATCACCAACCACTGTTACACACTTAGCTGGGCATTCGATTAGTGCGGTCATTGCAGTGTCTACAATCAAGCAGTCGGCATCACTTCGTGCGCTCACAACCTGTAATCCTTCGATGTCGGTCAACTTCAAGCTCGACGAAGCTTCGAAATATCTAGGACCATTTCATCAACCACTCTTATCTTGGTGCAGGATTGGCGAGTCCTCCTTAGATGGGTCGAATCCTTCGTTGTTGGTTCCTCGGGATAAGAGTCAAAAACGACTGACATAATTGCCCTAAATGAGACTTGGCTCAAAAAATCTATTTCTAGCAACGAAATCTTTCCTTCTTCTCAATATGAAATCTTCCGCAATGACCGCACGAGAAAGACTCATCCTCAAGATCCTAATAACCCTAAAAAGTTTAGGGAAAATGGAGGTGGTTATAACGGGACTTTTGCCAGTTACCCGATTATATGCCCCGTGGTCAAAAGAATGTTACGCTGCTCCTTATTTTTTAAAACTATTTCGAAACTTTCCTTCCTACATGAAAACAACGATTTGCTGACTTCTAAATTAATTTTATTTCCCTCCGTGAGTAAACTGAATTATTGCACGTTTTAAAAAGGTAAGATCACCAATCACGGCTCTCGACGTCTAATATCAGGACGGGAAAAATAAGTAGTACAAATGACTGGCTAGAATAAACTCTTCTTACGTTCCATTTTGTGTATATGTCTATGAGTTCGTACGTGTAGCTCTCCTCTCAACTATTCAAAATATGCTAGTGGTTACTGATATATAGAATGTACACATATATCATATATACCGGTCGTTAGTTTATCTGAGGTCTGGCATAACACAGCCACACGAGAACTGAGCAGTTTAAATCGTCTCTAAACGGGTCTCTAGACCAGTTATACAATATACCTATTTGCTTGTTATAGTTGTACTTCCATTTTGTCCGGTTTAGGTGTCGGGAGACCAGTGAGTCGTGGTGTTTGCCGTTTTTTATTTATGGGCGGCGCGCTGTTGAGCGGTGCACATTTGGGACAGTTACATGGCTCAGTTGCACGACTCACCCTATATCTGAATTATAAGACTATCAGTAACAGACATCAGTCATTTGATTACATGATTCAATCTCTACCGCAAAGCATCGACAAATTATTTGAATATAGAACGTTTTACCTTAGTTTTAGTGGGATCAGGTACATCAAGTTTGCCCTATGGTCCATTTATTGCTGTAACTGTTCAATTAATTTATTATCAATAGGAGTGTGTTACAGTGTTACAGTGTGTTACAGTGTTACACTTACATCGTAATCTTTATGCATACTAGCAGGAACCCGTGTATCAGTATAGCGGTGTCAACAGAATTTATTTATTTTGCGATTTTGACACCATTCGTCGGCCCAAATTTCGGTACATAAACATATTCACCTTTACGCTCTAGAATAATACCTATTTGATCATTTAAAGTCATTAGTTTTGGTAAAATCCTGTTATAAATTAAAACAGTAAAACAATATAAATAAGGAACAAATTCACTCTTAATTGAAAACGTTATTTTTCTCTATTGTGTTTTCTCGGCATTTCGTCACTTATATTATCATGCTCATAAAGTTATCAGTTATATTTCAACAGTTAAAATAACAACAGTCACGCATACTGCACAAGTAACCTCAATGGAAAGAGTAAACTGTACGAGCTGAGCTTTATTGACTTGAAAACAAGCACTCAGCAACGATTGCACAATAACACGATACACATGCAACCACCTCAGCACGCACATAACGTGATGAGAATCACTATGTTAACTGTTTAAGTAAAGCTCTATTAAAACCAGTACTTTTGCTCGGTTGATTTTTTGCACATCACGTATCTGGAAAATTCAGTCGTGATTTGCGTAAATACGTATTTATTCGCGTACCTTAACACTTGGTTTAATGGACAGCGGGACGATGAACTCCCATCACGCCCCGACGGACATCAGAAGGAACTTCGAGACTAGCAGTCTTGGTTCTCCTTCTCCAGAGAACAAGAAAGCTCCTGGATATATTCTCGACTCTGGACAACCGTACGTAACATTCCTTTTTACACATAGTTTCAGTTCTTATTTTGAAAATGGTTTGTTTGTAGCCACATGCTACTTTCTGTGTTATTAACCGTTTTTTAGACCGAATTTGTTATCTTATATTCATTATATTGTCGGGTAGTACTAATAACAGTTTGATTATGGGTATTACTAGTAACAGTTTGACTATGGGTATTGTAACATGGGTCTAATTAACTCTAAGTGGTGTAGCGAGTATGTAAGATATATCTTAAATTATATAGTCGCTGATAACTAAAACAATGGAACGTTTGTAGTTCAAAACTGGAACGAAAGTGGAGCAAAGAAAAAGAAGTCGAGGACGAGAAAAGGAGAAAGAAAATAAAAAGTTAGCAACATCCAACTTAAAATCAATTTTCTTCTGATTCAGCTCTCTGTTATGTTTGTGCTATACACTTATAAAGTTATGAAATGAAATGAATTGAAAGCAGGATACATGAAGAATTATAGTAGTTTGATTACAATGATTACAATGATTACAATGGTTACAATGATTACAATGGTTACAATGATTACAATGATAATAATCATTACACTATGTATTACCTCTAATTTATATCTCTATTGAATTTCAGAGTTTCTGGTTTATTTCCTGACATTTCTCGCTGTCTTAATCACTGTCGTTGTCATTGTTCTTGTCCTCCTGTACTTCCTAACCTGTATTTTTGGGAACTGTCCAGAAGGATGCTACGATTGTAAGGTAATTAATTAGTAGTATACCTTATATGGTAATGTCACTATGGTAACTAGTAGTGTTACTATGCTACGAATGTGAGGTAGTTGCCCTAATTTATACAGAGTTTCGGAAAAATTTAACAAAGATAGTTTAATGTCTCATTATTCTTTAATTTCGTTATTTTCGCGTCACGACTTAATAATTCACAAGCTGCACGGTTTATAAACTTTGATAAATAAATGAAATAAAAATAAAATAAAATAAAGAAATAAAAAATAAAACCACCAGTATGCGGAGAAGTCGGATTGGAAGAGAAAAGGAAACTCGTATTCAGGGAAAAAGAGGCACTGTGGAGACGCCCTTAAACTTCATGTTACAGACAATTCCTTTATCGTGAGTTCAATTATTCGGGGGTCGTGGGTCACAACACGTTTACACTTACAGTTTATCAGATATTATACAAATTATTAAATTCATTGTGATTGCTCTTCCAATTTTAAAATGATCACCTTACACGGGCGAGATAAAACTATTTGCAATTCTTTACAGTTACCATAGTAACATTACCATATAAGGTATACTACTAATTCTTTACAGTTAGATAGTTCTGTCAAGGGGTCCGGTGGTACCGGTGATATGGACACAACAGCCCCCCTTATTCACTCATTTTCCTCCATGGTAGACGAGAAGGAGACAAATACAATGGAACTTTGTGAGTGAACAAAGCACAGTTCACCTTTTTAGACAAAAAATGGCATTTTTTCATCACTCCTTTCGCACACCTTTATCACTACTGTGTCACACCTGTGTCACAATTCACAGTAGACTAGTGACACTGCTGTGACGCTGCTGTGACACTGCTGTGACACTGGTGTGACACTGCTGTGACACTGCTGTGACACTGCTGTGACACTGATGTAACACTGCTGTGACACTGCTGCAACACTGCTGTGACACTGCTGCAACACTGCTGTGACACACCTGTGTCACAATTCACAGTAGACTAGTGACACTGCTGTGACACTGCTGTGACACTGCTGTGACACTGCTGTGACACTGCTGTGACACTGCTGTGACACTGCTGTGACACTGCTGTGACACTGATGTAACACTGCTGTGACACTACTGTGTCACACCTGTGTCACAATTCACAGTAGACTAGTGACACTGCTGTGACACTGCTGTGACACTGCTGTGACACTGCTGTGACACTGCTGTGACACTGCTGTGACACTGATGTAACACTGCTGTGACACTGCTGCAACACTGCTGTGACACTGCTGCAACACTGCTGTGACACTGCTGTGACACTGCTGTGACACTGCTGTAACACTGCTGTAACACTGCTGTGACACTGCTGTGACACTGCTGTAACACTGCTGTAACACTGCTGTAACACTGCTGTAACACTGCTGTAAGTGTGACACTGCTGTGACACTGCTGTAACACTGCTGTGACACTGCTGTAACACTGCTGTAACACTGCTGTAACACTGCTGTAAGTGTGACAATGCTGTTACACTGCTGTGACACTGCTGTAACACTGCTGTGACACTGCTGTGACACTGCTGTGACAATGCTGCAACACTGCTGTAACACTGCTGTAAGTGTGACAATGCTGTTACACTGCTGTGACACTGCTGTAACACTGCTGTAACACTGCTGTAACACTGCTGTAAGTGTGACAATGCTGTTACACTGCGGTGACACTGCTGTGACACTGCTGTGACACTGCTGTGACACTGCTGTGACACTGCTGTGACACTGCTGTGACACTGCTGTGACACTGCTGTGACACTGCTGTGACACTGATGTAACACTGCTGTGACACTACTGTGTCACACCTGTGTCACAATTCACAGTAGACTAGTGACACTGCTGTGACACTGCTGTGACACTGCTGTGACACTGCTGTGACACTGCTGTGACACTGCTGTGACACTGATGTAACACTGCTGTGACACTGCTGCAACACTGCTGTGACACTGCTGCAACACTGCTGTGACACTGCTGTGACACTGCTGTGACACTGCTGTAACACTGCTGTGACACTGCTGTGACACTGCTGTAACACTGCTGTAACACTGCTGTAACACTGCTGTAAGTGTGACACTGCTGTGACACTGCTGTAACACTGCTGTGACACTGCTGTAACACTGCTGTAACACTGCTGTAACACTGCTGTAAGTGTGACAATGCTGTTACACTGCTGTGACACTGCTGTAACACTGCTGTGACACTGCTGTGACACTGCTGTGACAATGCTGCAACACTGCTGTAACACTGCTGTAAGTGTGACAATGCTGTTACACTGCTGTGACACTGCTGTGACACTGCTGTAACACTGCTGTAACACTGCTGTAACACTGCTGTAAGTGTGACAATGCTGTTACATTGCTGTGACACTGCTGTGACACTGCTGTTCACTGCTGCAACACTGATGTGACACTGCTGTGTCACTGCTGTGTCACTGCTGTGACACTGCTGCAACACTGATGTGACACTGCTGTGACACTGCTGTGAAACTGCTGTAACACTGCTGTGACACTGCTGTGACACTGCTGTAACACTGCTGTAACACTGCTGTGACACTGCTGTGACGTATTAATTCACTCAGACTGGTATATGGAGCAGACGGTTCGTAACAATGACAGCCTGAAGCTGGTGTTCAGTGATAATGGTGACAGATACGCTGGACTCGGTGACCTGGGTGATGCTGTGTTCCGACCTAAGGGAGAAGAGGCTCACCACACGGTTAGTTACCATAGTAACACTCCCACACGGTAATTTAAATCATCCTGCTCATAAAATTCTTTATTATTTTTAGTTACCGTTCAACACGGTATTTTAATTCCATACAAACTGTTCTAATAACAAATACATGTCTTCAGTTGTGGGTAAATGATGACAATCCAATCTATCTCCCCTTCTATCTATCCCGCAATAAAGAATCGAGTCTGTGCATGTTCGCTGATGCCGGCGGTAAGTAAATCCTATGTAATTTCCAAAAATAATTTAAAACAATTTGGCACTTGTCATGTCACACTGAAACCTTTGGCCGGGCTCCTGTGCATCTTTTTTTACAGAATTTTACGTTTTAAAATCAGAGTTCAAACAATTTTACGGTCTGAGATTTAATTCTAAGGTAGTTCAACACATTTTTTTGCTCATTCATCATAGTGTAATGGGCAATAATAGATTTGAATAATCACACTCATTTAAATTAGAAATGATTATACAAAATGTTAATCCCTTGGATTCCCGCACTATATAGTGACAACACTATATTATAATGATAAGCACTTTATAATGGCATGTCACTATATGGTGCTGTCATTATAAAGTGCTTGTCACTATATAGTGTTGTCACTATATAGTGCGATTACCAATCCCTTGATCCAGGAGCTCCAATGGAAGTCTCAGTAAAAGGGTCCCGGACTGAATGGTTGATATACAAGCATGACAAAGTGTATTTCCACATCTACTCTGCCAGTACCTCTCTCAAAGCAATGACAAAGTGCACTGAGAAGTGGAGGGAGCTTTATCCTAGTCCTGACGCTTCCTGGACAGATCACTTCATTATTGGCAGGTATGTTATTGTAAACTGTAGAGTGTAGAGTGTAGAGCTTGTAGTAGAGACTGGTAATAACAGGAATATAATTTAAAATAAGGTATTTGAGCTAAATAAAATAAATTATTTGAGAGTTTGAATACCAAGCCCAAAGGCACTTGTTAGTTTTCTAATTCTCTATTATTTTCTCGTAAGTAGGCAAGATTTACAGTTTATTATTTCCAGTTTAAGTACAGATAAAATAAAAGCCGCAAGAAACAAGGATGGAATATTGGGGACTCATTACATATTGGCCCCTGATAGTATCTCTATCAATGGTAATATATTTCATGTTATGCAGCTTCTCATCTTCTTCTAAAATTATGTAGACTTTTCAGTTTTCATACTGAATACTTATTCAAAAGAAAAGAAAAGCATTCTGAATTGCACTATTTTTAGACGGAGACCTAAAAATTGAGAACAAAGACGAAATCTCTAATTACGATAAAGTTTTCCTGCCATGGACTGCTAAACAAAATCTCAAAGGTGAGATCTTTTAAAAGTTTAAACCCTTTCTTTGTTTCATTTCCTGTAATTTTGATAACTTCTTAAAGTCATAATTACATAATCACATAATTATGATCAACACGAGGCCATAACGAATGATTACATTTAGATCCCCAACTTTAAACGATCTTTGAAACAAAATATCTATGAGAGCGGTAATAATTAAATGTCATAAATTGCAAAAATGGTAGCGTCCAGAAAATGTATTTAATACATTTTCTGAAAATTAGTTTTTAGTTACATTCACTTCAAACTAAAATATAACCTGGTGTTAACTTAAACCTTTCCTTATATTAGACTCTGGCTACGAACATCTGAACTCTAGAAACGGGTACTTCAAAACTGACGAAGAAGACGTGTACTTCTTGGATTACGACAATGACATGGTAAATTGGGACATCAGCTCAGCAATTAGTACTCAAACGATGGCGGGAGTTATCCTTCAGAACGATTTCTATCACAATATGACTCCGTCAGGTGAGATTATAACTTTACTAGTGTAATTCTTGCTTACGGCTGGGACTTCACTATCGCAGTTGAAATGCAAAAGTATAAACCCGCAATGAGTGACCCCTCCCCTAATAAGCTTATATATATGACAGTGAATATTACGCGGCTAACCTAATTATAATTAGGTTAGCCAATCCCATAACTCTTACCGTTTTTTATTAAACCGCTCGGAAATTACACGCGCACAGACATACAGACACACACACAGGCAGACACACAGGCAGACACACATTCTCAGATTATTATTGAAATTTGTTAAAGCGCATGCTTGTCAGAATGAAGCAAAAAGTTTTCAATGATGTTTTGAAACACATAGGGTTTAAAATGTTCCTTTTTATCATAGATTATGAAAAACATTAAATTTAATGATTAAAATACATTCTCTCTGATTTCAGAGACATGTCCCCAGTATAACTACTGCTCTACCAACTCTGCCTTCTTTGACTGGGACTCAGATCTTTGCATGGGTGATGAGTTTGGGGAGAAGGTCCTGTTCCAGAGACACAACTACTACGACACGTCGCGAAGTAAAGTTGTAAGGCGGACTAGTTCAATGGTAGTTGAGTCTGTAGCTGCTCCTGGTACAACTCATTTCCACAGGTAAGTTCTAATAGTGTGCTCATTTCCACACTCTGATAATACACACTGCTTTTTATAATTTAGATGATATGTTTCTCAATAACAGCCTAATATCACACAGTGGCAGTTCATCGTGTATTTCATACAGACCTTAATCGATAGTTTACAAACTTTTTACGGTGCTTTTATAACAATTTTACACGGTTTCAGGGGAAATATAGAGCTAACACCAGAAGGTTTGAGCACGTGCTTCCACAACATCCTAAACTTGCAACTTATTGGAATACGAGCTGTGAGTTGCAACATGTGTGGCGGACTCATTCCTCAGGAGACTGACATTGAGCAGACTAGGGTCTGTAACAGGTAGTCCCCTCTGTAACGGTATTTTGTAACCTGTAACAGGTACAGTAGTCCCCTCTGTAACGGTATTTCTTGTGTGTCTTTTGTAACCAATTTTCCTATTTTGATATGACTCAAACTTATATTAGTTTTGACACATTCCTAAAATAAAAGGTATGATTCTCAGATTAAGTCAGCTCGCATTCCTGATGCCCTACGTGATAATGACAAATGATGAGGAGCCCCCACTGATAACAGGTTATAATCTAGTAGTTGGTAGTGTTACTATGGTAATAGTTCCTTATATGGTGGTGTTACTATGGTAACACTACCTTATATGGTAGTGTTACTAAAGAGACATTACCTTTTAAGGTAGTGTTACTATGGTAACATTACCTTATATGGTAGTGTTACTTTGTTGACGTTATGGTTACCAAATAGTTCAGAATTATTATTTTGATTCGGAGTCCGGTATTTGGTATTTGGTTCGACCGAATATTCGGTGATTCGGTATAATATAATAATAGTTGCATTTAACTGGTGAATTCCTTATTTGTCTATTAAAACTGTTTACTATCCAGACGAGAAAGATGCTGGCAGATACGTCAAAAACAATCTCAACGCAAGGAAACAGTTTAGATATTACTTAGAATCTGCTTACAAAGAAGCCCTAGAAAGCAACACCCCCTTCGTTTACACAGTAGGAACCGCTTACAATGATGACATCTACAACGATAACCAACAGGCGGTCATTATAGGTAGGTATCTGATAACCAGAGCAAAGAGCAATCCTTGTGATTTGCTTGTGTGTTTCATGTGACCAGAAAAATGCTTGTGATTTGCTTGTGTGTTTCATGTGACCAGAACAATGCTTGTGATTTGCTGGTGTGTGTGTGTGTAATGTAACCTTTCGACTTTTAAACGTCTAGGTACCTAGTTACCTATTTACCTGGTCACCCAGTTACCCAGTCACCTAGTTACCTAGTTACCTAGTCACCTAGTTACCTAGTTACCTAGTTACCTAGATGCAGATTGTGTTAACTGCAGCAAGATACACACATGACGTAACAATAACATTAGATACGGTTTAGTACTAACTGCACTCTAACCTACTCCACCAGGGGCGAGGTTGGTTTATGTGGTGGTATTAGAGGACGAGGTTTAGTACTAACTACACCTACTCCACCAGGGGCGAGGTTGGTTTATGTGGTGGTATTAGAGGACGAGGACGGAGGAGACCTGAATATCGCGTTCCCTCCTGGTTACTGGTCCTCTAATGGGGGCCCCCTGACTGGAGAGTACTTCGCTGGAGGTGCTCCTTTATAATAAAGAATTTCTTGGATTAGTAAAATAGAATAATTATTTTCGTGTATTTCATTTGGTTATTTCTGCACAGCTTTAAATAAAATGATCGTTCTTCAGGTCAAGATCGAGTTCAAAGTTCAACAGATATGAGTAATCTCATCTACTTTCAAGCTCCCGGAATATTCGTCCTCGCAGATTCAGGTTCAAATTCAATCACAAAGTACCTTCCACTCAGTTAACGATAATAAGTTTATAAAAAAACTTCAAGATAAAGTAAAAGTATTTAGCTAATTAACCTAAATATGTATTGCTCGATGCAGTTCATCGGAAATTTCAATGATTATTCTAAGTGTCACAAACACCTACTCTTCTTATCCTGGTTTCAGTTTATCTGGGCTTCACTTACATTAGGTTGTCTATGGTAACATTACCTTATATGGTAATGTGCATCACTTACATTTTCTAATTTCTAATTACATTTTCTAATTTCAGATAACCCTAACCATGCTGTTGTTCGAGTGTATCTACCATTCGAAGGACCCTATGACCAAATTACACACACTTTCAACTACTACCATCCTGTAGCTGAGTACTCTAGGAAGTACTCTACACAGATAACTTTTGACCCTGAAGATGGAGCTAACTCTGCCAACATCAGGTTTTCTTACGATGGAGAGTCCCCCAGACAAGACATCAGTGTTTCAAGGATTGAAGTGTATCGTTGGTTTGTGAACAATGACAGTCCGCCAGACTGGGTCGCTTTCAACGCCAGGGGAAACAACAAGTTTAACGTGGTGTTCGATTACATTCAGAGGAAAACCATGCTGAAAATGGATGCTCAGTCATTGTTTGGGACCTTGAGTTGGACCCAAAGTTTTGACTTTGAGTCGTAGATATTTTCATTTATGACGATTTTATAATGATAACCGTAGGTAATCTACGTTATCAATAGCACTACTAGTACTATACAGTTTTTTCGGCTTTAAAAATTACATGGAAAGAACCAATATAATATATTAATGTAAGTCAAAGCCAAAAGGGGTTTTAAGAAAAAAATGAAAGAAACGCTTTTGCAATATCAAACATACTACGATAATGATTGCTAAAAAAGCAAAAGACTTCTATTCACCACTTGCTGTTTAAAACCGTAGCTAAACATCCTCCTCCACGGCTTTACCATCATCACTTGATACGTTATATATACACGTTATTGGTTAATGGTTATATATTACACGTTATTGGTTAATGGTTATATATTATACGTTATTGTATACCATCCGTTTAGGTCTTAGGACAGCTGATATACATAGTCATACTTTTTGTAATAGCAGTTTTTATTTTTTTAAAACACCCTATATTCCCTTCCTATTTTAGCAAGGCTTACTACTACTATGTCGGAGCTAAGTCCGATCTACGCCAGAAAACCCCCTCCATATATCCCTGTCCCGCATCAGGGTTCGCAGTTCCTCTTTAGAGTTTGTCCCAACTTCCTTCAGTAACATAGACAAGTAGCTTTGTCTTGGTCGGCCTTGCTGTGCTCTACCGTGCGTAGGTTCCCATAAGACTAAATCACTGGCAAGTAGCTCAGGATGTCGGATGCAGTGTCCCGCCATTTTTAATCTCCTGCTTCGTAACTTGTTTGACAGCCTTGGGAGGCTACCATACAAAGTTATATTGCTGACCTTGTCCTTCCATGAGATACCCAGCACCATACGCAACATCTTTGTGTATGTCCCGTCCAAACTTTTCTCTTGAGCCTTTGTCAGTGTCCAGGTTTCTGATCCGTAGAGCAGTACTGATTCACAAGCCGCTATGAACAATCTAATCTTGAGGCTCTTTGAGAGTTTGGATTTCCAGATATCCTTCAGTCTATGTAGGGCACCCCACGCTTTTCCCTTTCTAACCCTTATCTCCCTATCTGTGCTCTCAATCCAGGAGCCTAAGTAGATGAAATCATCTACATTTTCTATGGCTTCCCCGGATCGACTTTGTAGGTCGCTAGATCGATCCTCCATATTCAGTGTCATGACCTTGGTCTTGCCTTCGTTTATGTGTAGTCCCACGCTTGCTGCCGCCGATTCTACTCTGAGCAAGAACTCGTTAGCCTTGTCCATGTCCTCAGATATAAGTGCTAGGCTTAATGACATGCTAACCTGACCGCCGCCTCTGAGGCATTTCTATTACCCTAACACGCTGGACCAAATAATTACTAATAATGTTCCTAAAATGAATTTGTAACTCAATATGTTTAAAATCGTGGAGCGACTTAAATTTTTTTAAACTCAAAAGGCTAAAGATTGTGGGTCGTGCAGAAATTTGATTGAACCTCTGGTTTACCAGTTTAAAAACGTTAAGAATGTTACGTTATAAGAGGTTTTGACCATGTTAATTATCAAATATAAGTAAACACTACTTTGCCATTTACATTGCGATTAGTGAAAAATTAAACAAATTACCTTAAAATATTCATCAGTTTCATCAACTTATCAATTTATTCGCATTGTAAAAACACATCTTCTCCATGACTACAATCGTCAACCAATACGAACGAACATGAACTCCATTCATCACTGCTACAGGCAACATCGTCTAGGGTTATTTCGAGCCCCGCCTGAATGCCCCAGTTATTACCGGCTGACCAGCTCATTTGACCGATGTGTCCCAGTTCACGACAAATAGCATCAGCTGAGTTATCACTGAAACGATCGTCACAAACTGTTCCTCCATTGCTGATCAGCAACCCTACAACTCCAGCACCGACGGTATCACCATTTGAATCTACCAGACTTAACACTGAAAGTTTAATAGTGTGACTTTAAATGAAATTATAAAAATAATCCAAACAAAGTAATAATCAAAATCAACTTTGTTAAGTGACCAAAATAGCCTAAACTAAAAGAACTCCTTGGAAGCAGACAATGAAACTTATGTGTGAGAGGTACTTTAACCTGGACATTCGTTTATTGTGCAAGGTTGAGTCTGAGACGCTTCCCCAACACAATCTGCACCACCATTAGCCGGAGCAGGGTTGGTGCAAGTCCTTGTTCTGGTTTGGGTACCTTCTCCACAATTAAGTGAACATTCAGACCATTCTCCGAAATCAGTGTAACCACCATCGGCTAGATTTGAAAGATATTATTATTATCTTGTTATACTTGAATCAAAAACTCATGAATGTCGAGTAAACAAATTTTTGGAATCCTGGCTTGTCTCAACGATTCCTGCAAATTTGAACCAGATCTCAAACTGAGACTTGAACAGGTATTCATGATCTTGAAACTAAGATAGACTCACCAAATCCTTCACATTGCAGGAACACATCTTCTTCATGACTGCAATCGTCAACAAATGAAAACGAACATGAACTCCATTCATCACTGCTACATGCAACATCGTCTAGGGTTATTTCGAGCCCCGCTTGAATGCCCCATTTGTCACCGGCTGACCAGCTCATTTGACCGATGTGTCCCATTTCTTTACAAATAGCATCAGCTGAGTTATCACTGAAACTATCGTCACAAACTGTTCCTCCATTGCTGATCAGCAACCCTACAACTCCAGCACCGACGGGATCACCATTTGAATCTACCAGACTTAACACTGAAAGTTTAATAGTGTGACTTTAAATGAAATTATAAAAATAATCCAAACAAAGTAATAATCAAAATCAACTTTGTTAAGTGACCAAAATAGCCTAAACTAAAAGAACTCCTTGGAAGCAGACAATGAAACTTATGTGTGAGAGGTACTTTAACCTGGACATTCGTTTATTGTGCAAGGTTGAGTCTGAGACGCTTCCCCAACACAATCTGCACCACCATTAGCCGGAGCAGGGTTGGTGCAAGTCCTTGTTCTGGTTTGGGTACCTTCTCCACAATTAAGTGAACATTCAGACCATTCTCCGAAATCAGTGTAACCACCATCGGCTAGATTTGAAAGATATTATTATTATCTTGTTATACTTGAATCAAAAACTCATGAACGTCGAGTAAACAAATTTTTGGAATCCTGGCTTGTCTCAACGATTCCTGCAAATTTGAACCAGATCTCAAACTGAGACTTGAACAGGTATTCATGATCTTGAAACTAAGATAGACTCACCAAATCCTTCACATTGCAGGAACACATCTTCTTCATGACTGCAATCGTCAACAAATGAAAACGAACATGAACTCCATTCATCACTGCTACAGGCAACATCGTCTAGGGTTATTTCGAGCCCCGCTTGAATGCCCCATTTGTCACCGGCTGACCAGCTCATTTGACCGATGTGTCCCATTTCTTTACAAATAGCATCAGCTGAGTTATCACTGAAACGATCGTCACAAACTGTTCCTCCATTGCTGATCAGCAACCCTACAACTCCAGCACCGACGGTATCACCATTTGAATCTACCAGACTTAACACTGAAAGTTTAATAGTGTGACTTTAAATGAAATTATAAAAATAATCCAAACAAAGTAATAATCAAAATCAACTTTGTTAAGTGACCAAAATAGCCTAAACTAAAAGAACTCCTTGGAAGCAGACAATGAAACTTATGTGTGAGAGGTACTTTAACCTGGACATTCGTTTATTGTGCAAGATTGAGTCTGAGACGCTTCCCCAACACAATCTGCACCACCATTAGCCGGAGCAGGGTTGGTGCAAGTCCTTGTTCTGGTTTGGGTACCTTCTCCACAATTAAGTGAACATTCAGACCATTCTCCGAAATCAGTGTAACCACCATCGGCTAGATTTTAAAGATATTATTATTATCTTGTTATACTTGAATCAAAAACTCATGAACGTCGAGTAAACAAATTTTTGGAATCCTGGCTTGTCTCAACGATTCCTGCAAATTTGAACCAGATCTCAAACTGAGACTTGAACAGGTATTCATGATCTTGAAACTAAGATAGACTCACCAAATCCTTCACATTGCAGGAACACATCTTCTTCATGACTGCAATCGTCAACAAATGAAAACGAACATGAACTCCATTCATCACTGCTACAGGCAACATCGTCTAGGGTTATTTCGAGCCCCGCTTGAATGCCCCATTTGTCACCGGCTGACCAGCTCATTTGACCGATGTGTCCCATTTCTTTACAAATAGCATCAGCTGAGTTATCACTGAAACGATCGTCACAAACTGTTCCTCCATTGCTGATCAGCAACCCTACAACTCCAGCACCGACGGTATCACCATTTGAATCTACCAGACTTAACACTGAAAGTTTAATAGTGTGACTTTAAATGAAATTATAAAAATAATTCTAACAAAGTAATAATCAAAATCAACTTTGTTAAGTGATTAAAATAGCCTAAACTAAAAGAACTCCTTGGAAGCAAACAATGAAACTTATGTGTGAGAAGTGCTTTCACCTGGACATTCGTTTAGTTTGCAAGGTTGAGTCTGAGACGATTCCCCAACACAATCTGCACCACCATTAGCCGGAGCAGGGTTGGTGCAAGTCCTTGTTCTGGTTTGGGTACCTTCTCCACAATTAAGTGAACATTCAGACCATTCTCCGAAATCAGTGTAACCACCATCGGCTAGATTTGAAAGATATCATTATTATCTTGTTATACTTGAATCAAAAACTCATGAACGTCGAGTAAACAAATTTTTGGAATCCTGGCTTGTCTCAACGATTCCTGCAAATTTGAACCAGATCTCAAACTGAGACTTGAACAGGTATTCATGATCTTGAAACTAAGATAGACTCACCAAATCCTTCACATTGCAGGAACACATCTTCTTCATGACTGCAATCGTCAACAAATGAAAACGAACATGAACTCCATTCATCACTGCTACAGGCAACATCGTCTAGGGTTATTTCGAGCCCCGCTTGAATGCCCCATTTGTCACCGGCTGACCAGCTCATTTGACCGATGTGTCCCATTTCTTTACAAATAGCATCAGCTGAGTTATCACTGAAACGATCGTCACAAACTGTTCCTCCATTGCTGATCAGCAACCCTACAACTCCAGCACCGACAGTATCACCATTTTCATCTACCAAACTGAACCCTGTGAGCTGGATTAATTTAATGAAGAAAAAAACAGAAGTAACATTAGCAATCTGCAACAACCTTTTTAAAAGTTAAATAGCATCCTCAAATGTAATAATAACTTCTTTTACTTGATTTAATGTGATGATAATCAGTATAGTATAATTCTGATAATCAGTATTAGTATAGGTGTCCAATATGTTACTCGCAATTACTCGAACTACCTTAAAATATGGCTTGTTACGTAAAAAGTAATCTCACCAAGGCAAGGTTCAGGGTTGCAACTCTTCGTTTCTTCATTTTCCCCCTCGCATTCTTTTCCTCCGTTTGCTGGACTGGGGTTTGTACAGGTCTTACTTCTGATTTGAGAACCTCCTCCACATTCAGCAGAACAGACCGACCACTCTCCAAAGTCACTCCATCCACCGTCAACTGTTAATATATTATCCTTGTTTGTGAATTTAGAAGCCACTGTTATTTGCTGTAAGGCAAGGACAAAAGTAAATTGTGGTTTTAAGGAAAGAATTTTGATTTAGTTTTACATAGATTGTTCTGGACCACAAATTTCATACATACATACATGCTACATGAAGAGGTCTCCTCCTAGTCGTTGGAGTGGCCTGCATCACACACATCTCTTCTACGGCGTAACATGTTCCTCCATTCCACTCGCTTTAGAGCCAACTGTTTTACTGCATCTCTGCTGATGTTATCGACACCTGTAAATTCAGCCGCATCCTCGAGTACACAGGCCATCCAGCCTTTGCGGGGTCGTCCTCTCAGTCTCTTTCCATAGTTTGGTTTCCAATCCAGTAAGAAATTGGGAAACCGCGTCTCTGGCATTCTGACAACATGTCCGTACCACCTTAGTCTAGCCGCACCGATGAAAGTTTCGATAGACTTAATTCCAGCACGCCTGAGAACTTCTTCATTGGAGACATGGAAGAACCACTTTATCTTCAAGATTCTTCTCAGGGAGGTCAGATGGAAGACCTCAAACCGTTTCATCTGCTTCTTTGTTGTGTTCCACACTTCGGCTCCATATAACAGAATAGTAATAACAGCAGCCTTGTAGATACGGATCTTGGTGGGCGTTCTTATAGTTCGACTGTTCCATATCTTCCAAAGCTGATGGAACGCACCATTAGCACGCTGGATCCTGATGTCAAGATCTCGGTCAATGGTACCATCCCCACTGATGTTGGCACCAAGATAAACAAAGTTGCTGACCTGTTCAACAGGTTCTCCCTCCACTGTTAGCTTTATACTGTCTCTTTCGGTGTAAGGTCGCTGGGACGCACACTTGCTGATTGCCATGCATTGTGTCTTTTTAGCGTTGATCTTCAACCCAGCATAAGAGGTGTAATAAGCTATAAGATCAGTGGACTCTTGCAGCCCTTCTTCAGTATTGTCCATCACTGCCAGATCATCAGCGTAGTCACTGTCCATGATAACTTTTTCATCTGCACCCTTTAGTTCCTTTTGCAGTACAGCACCATGACTGATTGCCTTGTGAACCTCGGCCAAAAAGATTCCAAAGTTCAGACAAAAATTAAATACAGGGGGGCCCTGGATATCACCCTGTCCAGTGCCCGAATTAACAGAGAACCAATCAGACATTTCACCATTAACCCTGACAGCACTCATGGTTCCGTTGAAGAATGCCTGAAAGATTCTAACATATTTCTCAGGAAGTCCATAGTGTCTCATGCTTGACCAAATAAACTCTCTTCTGATGGAATCAAACGCTGCCTTAAAATCAATGAAATTAACATAAAGTGGAATGTTAAACTCAATGCAGTTGTGAATAATGGTGCGGATGGAATAAATCTGATCAATACATGAGCGGTTCCGTCTGAACCCACACTGATTTTCCCTAAGAAGACACTCCATTCCAACATCCAGCCTCTTAAGAAGAACCATTTGAAGAACCTTAGAAGACGTTGCCCTAAGAGTTATACCCCTATTATTGCAGCAGTATGAGGTGTCTCCCTTCTTTCCGATAACCACTATAACACCTTTAAGCCAATCCTCAGGGATCACCTCTTCCTCCCATACCTTTTTAAACAGTAGCTCTAGTTAGCCAACAAGAGCACTTCCACCATACTTAAGTTGTTCATTAGTTATCTCATCGACCCCTGCACTTTTGCAGTTCTTCAGTTTCTTTAGAGCATAACTAATCTCATCTCTAGAAGGAGGTCCATCAGAACAAGAAAGGTAGTCAAAACTCGATTGTGAGGGCACACCATCGAGGTCATCAAGATTGGCATCCGATAGTGGAGGATTTAAGAGCTCAGTAAAGTGCTCCTTCCACCTTTCCTTCTGACTGTCCGGGTCTGTAATAAAATGACCATCCTTATCCCTAACTGACATACCCACTTTCTTCTTCTTTTTCCCAGAAATCTTCTTTATCTTATCCCAAACTTCCCTTTGCTGGCCTTTCTTAGAAGCCTCCTCTAGATCAGTCGCTATTTTAGTAGCCCAGTTGTTGTCGTCAATTTTACAACTTTTCTTAACTAATTTATTAAGTTTAGAGTAGGCTGATCTATTGACGTTTGAAGTGGGATCCCTCCGTTTGAACATTCCCCGTTGCTCTATCAAGTTCTTAGAGGTTTGCGAAAGGTGTTGTTCTTTAACCTTCCGGGGACGCTTTCCAAGCACTTCCATCGAGACATCAGTGACTGTCTGCTTGAAATTATCCCACATGTCCTCAAGGTTGACCTCATTAGCCAGACAATCAAAACGGTTCTGAAGAGCCACGTTGTACTCTTGAACCTTAGACGAGTTTCGCAAATGTTCGATAGCAGGCACATCGTGCCTTTTAGCAGTGATCTTAGCTACCGACTGCAGTTTGATTTGCAGCCGTCCACGAACAAGATAGTGATCTGAACCAATGTCAGCCCCACGACATACCTTAACATCGAGTAGCGAGTGTTGGAATCGTCCACTAATACAAATATGATCAATTTGATTCACAGTTAACCCGTTAGGAGACCGCCATGTACCCTTGTGGATGTCTCTATGCTGGAACAGAGTTCCACCAATAACAAGTTGATTGGCTGCACAGAAATCCATGAGCCTGGTCCCATTGTCGCTTGATGAACTATGGAGAGATTCTCCACCAATAACTCCCTCGAATCCATATCTGTTTGAAGTAACTTTTCCATTGAAGTCACCCAGTAGCAGTTTCAGATCATGTCGGGGCAGTTCACCAAACGTGTCTGATAAAACGTTGTAAAGACGATCTTTCTCTCCGTCATCAGCACCGTCAGTCGGAGCGTAGGCTACAACAACAGATATGTTGAGGTGTTTGCCGTGTAACCTAGCTGTTAAGACCCGCTCTGATGTAGGTACATAAGAGATCAGGGAGTTCCTGACCTTTTTGGAAAGACATAGGCCAACCCCTTGCCTTTTGATACCATCTCCCCTACCAGAATGAATAAGTAGACTACCATTGTCCAAAAGTGTACTTCCAGATCCTGGCATATGAGTTTCAGTAATACCCAAAATATCAAGACTGTAGTGATCAATGTTCTGACTGAGTTGATAAAGCTGTGAAGATGAGCTGACTAAAGATAAAACATTCCAGGTTCCAAAGTACATTGAGTGTTTGCTGTAGTTGATAGGATTGGACTTGCTGAAATCAGTGTCAACATGAGCGATCTGTTGACTAATTACTCTGTTGTTATGACGAGCAACCACTCTTCTCATCAGGCCACTGGGGTCCCTGAGGCTTTGCCCAGTTGCCGTCATCCTGGTCTCACCCGACCTTGCAGAGGTAGAAGCACACCGTCCTTGATTTGTGTGTAATGTTTCAGTAGCAAACTTTTAGAGAGGAGAAGTTGCCAGCATCTCGCACCCGGTTTTTTATCGACCTTTGCCTGTCTAGATCCATAGTGTTTTGTTGCACGTCATCTGTTTATACTGGAGTCACCCAGGACAGATTACAATGCTTAATAGTAGCACCTCGAAAAGGATGTGATTCTTCATCACGCACTATGGTCATTGAAATAGGAGAGGTTATTGGCTTCACTGCCTTCACGATCACTATTCCCTGAGATTATAAATAATCTCTTGCCACCACAAATTTCATAATACAGTAAAACCCCGATTTACCGCGCCCCTATTTACCGCAAAACCCCGATTTACCGCTGACATATCCTTCCCCAAATAGGGCTGAACATGCACAATATAAACAAACAAAACCCCGATTTACCGCGGATGTTTCCTTTCCCCGAACTCCGCGGTAAATCGGGGTTTTACTGTACCCGACGTGAAAACAAACACGTTCTTTTGATTTATTCACTCAATATTAATTCGAAACGTCCTCATAATCAATATGCGCATCTAATAGTAATATGCTACCCAAATTACTGGAGCTACCTTAAAATATGGCTGGTTACATAAAATGCACTCTGACCTGGGCAGGGTTCAGGGTTGCAACTCTTCGTCTCCTCATTTTCCCCCTCGCATTCTTTTCCTCCGTTTGCTGGACTGGGGTTTGTACAGGTCTTACTTCTGATTTGAGAACCTCCTCCACATTCAGCAGAACAGACCGACCATTCTCCAAAGTCACTCCATCCACCGTCAACTGCTAACTCATCAACTTTGCAAACGTAGTCACATTTCTTCAAATTCTTCTCCACCTTCACACACTTCTTCGTTTGCTTCTTCTTCATTTTGCCCTCTCCTGTAGCCAAACAGCCTTCCATTGTAGATTCGAAGCCGTTGGCAAGGCACTTATCAAACGTTTTAACATCTTTCGCTTTGCATTTTGCATCCACAACTGTCAAAATGAAAAAAGCAGCCGTGGCTAACACAAGAGTTTTCATTTTATCAAAGGTTTTAAAAGTTCAGGAAATTATAATAACATGAATTGTGAGCTTCACTCTACCGACTTACTCATGGAGCCGTGTGCCTTTGCAAGTCACAAATTGCATTACTATTAGTTTGCCAAAAAAGAACTCTCGGTCAGTCTAGAAACATGGCCACACGAAATCAGTGTGCTCCTTCACCTTCGTCCCTCACAAAACCAACTTGGATCAATTTACGTCACATTTTTACAAACTAGAGGTGGTCAACACGTTGATCTAAATTACTTTCTAAAACGTGTTCAGTCGCAGCTACTACCCGAGTTAAAGATATAGTTGGCGCTCTTAGTCTTAGTACATACACTAATAGAGTCGCAGCTACTACCTGAGTTAAAGATATAGTTGGCGCTCTTAGTCTTAGTACATACACTAATAGAGTTTCCTCCGACACAGCATCTGATAGACAATAACTATTATGTGTTATGTGCGACTATTATGTGTTATGTGCGACTATTATGTGTTATGTGCGACTATTATGTGTTATGTGCGACTATTATGTGTTATGTGCGACTATTATGTGTTATGTGCGACTATTATGTGTTATGTGCGACTATTATGGGCGACTGATAACCACAACTGTAACATTGGGCTGACAATAACTTTAACGGCAATAAAGAGGCCGGTGGCGGTGCTGTCACCCACCCATGTGTCTACGCGTACTGCCTGATGCACTTTTTTTCGAATAGTTGGATGAGCTAGAAAACGAATAATCTAAGGCAATACTTAATAAAATATTACTAACTAATACTATACAATTGATAATTCATTGAGAAGCATTGCCCGTACCCGTAGTAGGCAGAGAATATTGGCTGCTCCTTAAAAGGATTCAAAGAAAAGCCCCACAGTGTATCCAAATTATTCTTGTCATACGTTGTATGACCCGCCGCGCACGAGTGCGCGGCTCCCCCTGTATCGTCAGGACGATAAAGTCAGGACGATAAAGTCAGGACGATAAAGTTTCCACCTAGTGAAACGACCGTGGGTGTCACAACGTGACACAAAGGTTATGAGGAGGTGTTCTAGCAAATGTGTGGGCGAAATTGTGATTATGTCGCTTTATGTCGCGCGAGGTTTATTTCTCAGAATTGTGGGTATGTCGCTATTATTCGGTTCCATAAATGACGAAAAGTTACTTGCGTGCGCGTATTTTTATATAGTTTTATAGTGTTACAAATTGTAGACCTAAGATGGCAAGTACGTACGGTACGTACCTTTAAATTAGCTGTACGGTACGTACTTAATAAAGTAGGTTGAAAGGTACAAATCCAGTTGATAGCAATGGAAACAAAAACTAGACGGTACGTGCACAGATTAATCCAGAAGTAGAAGAATTGGAACCTTCGCGCGAAATTCTCAAAATTTTTTCTGCTTAAACAGTTGGCCCAAATAGTATTCATTCAGTGTTTTAAGTTCTTCGTCAATTTGTGAGACCAATTTTAGAGATTACAAGTATATTATGGACAAGCGTAGATTAAGGTTGCGACCTGAGCTAGCTGAAATGTGAAAAGCTGGTGTTCGTATACTGCAACAAAAGGATGAAGCTTTGAGTTTAACGATAATTACAAGTAGTAGTAGTGTAGTACCGGTTAAGAGCGATCAGGTACACAAATTTTCCTCTTAAATCTTTTATTGTTTTAACCACTGTGTTTATTTTCGACTTCTATTTCAAAAATTATGATGATAATACTAATCAAAAATTGCAAGTAATTCACTGAAGTTGATTCTAAAAATTTGAAAAAAAATTGTACCTTACACTTACAGTGCCTGTACGGTACGTACCTTTAAAAGTAGCTGTACCGTACGTACTTAAAGCCCTGTACCGTACGTACTTGCCATCTAAGTTGTAGACTTGCTGAGCCTCCCGTAGGACGGCGGCTAAGGCCGCTAGAGTGAACTAGCACATCCCGGTTCGAGCCTCGTCAGAGGTCTTTTTTTGGCATTTATTGATTACTTTACTACAATTATCAGCAGAGAACCTTAGTAATACACTTTATCAAATAAATTATACTGTTCGGACTTCAGCTAGAGAAGACTTCAGCTATGGAACATGTCAAATGGTAAACAGAGTTATCTGTTAATGTTTTTTTTGTTTATGGTTAGAATTTAGAATGGAATCAATGTGATGAGGATCCAGAGTTAATTACCTGCTAGGATTAATAAGTCAGTTCTACAGTTGAAGAGGTTATTTTTTCAAACTTTAAATGAAGAAATTAGCTCGGAACTTCATTCCTAGATTCATCACTTTCAGTTAGTAACTACGGTGTACCATGACCAGTTCACAGTTAAAGCATGAGCGGATCAATTCAAAACATTCACATCCCACATTCTTAAATCTACATCCTTCACCAAAACCAGTTTGACTACTTAACTTTTCATTACTAATTGCAATATGGGAGGCGAGAGCCTGTAGCCAGGAAGTAGGAACAGTACCTTAAGATTTCGACCGTAACCGGACCATTTTTACCGTTACCGGACCATATCGTCTTCATCTTGTGGCATGGTTCCCAAGCCTGATAGTAATACATATGCACTATGGCAGTATCTAGTATATCCTGAGCGGTGGAGATCTATCATTGTATTGGTGAAACTTCTCTCAATAAAGCACTGTTCGTTACCTGTTTATTTCCAATCAATATCATGTGTGAAAATTCCAGCCTATATCTATTTTTCAGGAACCATAAACAATAGTTAATATACAAACATGTGCTCCTTCATAAATAGTATCATTATCGTGATCAAACCCCTTATTTATGGGCCTGCCAGTCTCTTCTGAAGCACGAATGAACTTAATTTCTAGTTCTACTGTCCGAGAAAAGTTCAGAATTTTTTGAATTTTGTAAATCGGTGGTCCGGAAGCGGAGTTATGGTTCAATGAAAATTGTTAGTTTAACGCTGTTTGTATTGTCATTATCAGAAGTGACGAAAACATATGTCACCCCACTGTACAATACAAGGCCTTCTCCGGGTAGTCTTCTCCTGACAGTATTATTTATGTAAACTCGCGCACGCACCTACCTTTTTGCAATATTTAGGTTCAAATTTGTGCGCATAACCATAGTTTTGAAAAGCGACATACCCACATTTTGAGAAGAAAACATCTACTGAAGGTTATTATGTCCGGCGGAATGACAGGCTGAGCGCCGTCCAGTAAATTTATATATCGCGATGCACTACTGGGCCGCGCCGTGCATCAAATAATTGATGTACCACATGACAAGATTACAATAACAAGTTAAATGACAAGTATGGCACGTAAAATTGTATAAAAACACGAATACAATTTTTAACCCATCCGTACGTATTACTTTGTTGTTTGTAATAATTCTATTTATATTATAATATATGATCTCAACATTTCCTTTTTGTATCAATATTTACTCTAACCATAGCCCTCTCGCTTGTAGTACTAGTAGCACGCGAGTAGTGAGTAGGCTATCTACTTGTGAAACAAGCGCGTCACACAGTACGCGTAGACACATGGCTATGTGAATATCAATATCAAAATCATTAATTGTTAATACAAATGATCAAACTTGACATCAAAATTCCATGATTGATAAATTCACAAAATTGAGACACATTATTAATTATTTACAGACTATAAAATTTAAAAAAACTCCACCCAACGATTACCAATCATGTGGCTGTACATGCAATATTCTTGTAGTCGTTTATTGCCAGACAGTTGCAGTCCCAAAATGATAAAAGAACTTAATTTAAGAACTTTATGAATTTAACTGGAATACAACAACGCGGTGAATGAGAATCTGAATGTCATTTACATTTTACAGTTTCTTCAATATTTGAAGTTCTCGTCTTGTAGAGCTAATATCTGGTTGTTGAGAGTTCTTTTCTCGTTCTTCAGTTCAAATATGGACTCTTCCATCTGTTTAAGACGCCCAATTAGACACTGAAGTGAAATAGAATTCTTCGCCAACTGCAGCTTCAGAATATCACAGTTTTCACAGTTCTGTAAAATAGAGCAATTAATAATTATAAGAAAATAATTTGGAATAATACTTTACCCCCTCGTGACCTAATGTAATAAATACATTGTGTTTCCATGACATAGTTACCTCATATGGTAGTAATACATCAATTATATCGTTATTATGTTAAAACAACGGCATTATATCTAAATTTACAATGAGAATATTAACAAAGGAGCATATTCTCCGGTTAAATAAGCTTATTGCTTGTTAATCACTCTAACGAGCACCATGTGTAGTAAAGCCGGGTAGTGTATCGTGATAGAACATGCGGTAACGCTTCTCTAAATTACAAGTCTAAAATAATAGCAAACTATCCTTCCCCGGATGTAAATATAAGACTGTTCTAGAACAAACCCTTTTAGATTTAGTGCAGGACATCTCGTGGTCCACAACTTCGTGGGCAGCTAGGCAATACTCGGACGTGTACTCGTCTGATACGATACCCATTCTGATACGGAACTCCAGATCCTTAAGATTTCACAGCGTTATGGCTTATCATAAAGTCATAACAATCTCATGTCACCTCAAAAAACCACATTTTTTTGTGTTTTTAAAGGATGATTAATGCTGAAATACTAATGAACTCAGTCACTAGTTTTCTCTTCAGTAAAGAGTAAATATCTCGCTCTGGTTAAGGTGACCTTGTTAACATACCGAGATAGTAGCTGACAGTTCCTCAATAGCTCTCCTGTCTAACTCGTGTGTTCTCACCAGGTCCTCGTTTAGCAGCTTTATATCAGACAGCTGTAAAACAACTTTACAATAACAAGCATATCAACACCTACAAGTCAAGAATCAAAAAAAACTAAGACGTTGCTGCTGTACTTACATTTTATAATTCAAAATCAAATATCACAACAAGACCCTTTTGCACGTATATATTAGACTAAAATTGAACTTTAAATTTTTACATATTCTTCAAACAACCACGACGGTTAATAAGCGGATAATTAGCGGTTAATTGGCTAACGTTTTTGTTGGTGTGAGAGACTTTAGTTTTAAGAGTGTGATTCTCCTTTCTAAAGAAGGAGGTGGATCCTTTGAGCATAAAGTCGGTACTGCCTCCAATCCTCTTAACAAAACTGTTTAGACCATCCAGCTTCTTATGTATAATAGCATTAGTTTTCTTGCTCTCATTCAGTTCCAGTCTAACATCGCTTAGTTGCTGGGATAATGACAATGTTAATTCACCTGATAAACAGAGGGAGGGAGGGAGGGAGGGAGGGAGGGAGGGAGGGAGGGAGGGAGTGAGGGAGGGAGGGAGGGAGGGAGGGAGGGAGGGAGGGAGGGAGGGAGGGAGGGAGGGAGGGAGGGAGGGAGGGAGGGAGGGAGGGAGGGAGGGAGGGAGGGAGGGAGGGAGGGAGGGAGGGAGGGAGGGAGGGAGGGAGGGAGGGAGGGAGGGAGGGAGGGAGGGAGGGAGGGAGGGAGGGAGGGAGGGAGGGAGGGAGGGAGGGAGGGAGGGAGGGAGGGAGGGAGGGAGGGAGGGAGGGAGGGAGGGAGGGAGGGAGGGAGGGAGGGAGGGAGGGAGGGAGTAGTAGTAATTACTCACCTCCTTCAAAATAGCATTTTCTTTAGTTGTCTCTGCTACTGACATTTTGAGTTGTCTCTCTGAACTACGAGCAGAGTTCCGAGCACCCTCTTCCTCTTCTTTCTTCTTTAACTAGACGTTGGAAGAAGTGAGTTAGTGTTCAGTTACTTCTACACTTATAACCAAGACACTGTTTACTTTCAGTCGTCATGGCATCTTGCTATTCAAGTCTAACTTTAACAAAGATCAGATTAAAGATGTGACATTAATTTCGAATAACGGAGTAAAAAAGGCCCACAATAAAACGTGTTGACTGATTCAGGACGTAACTGAATATTAAAGTACTACGAGTCCTATATAAACACAATATTGAGAACAAGCTGACGACGAAATGACACTAAACATCTAGAGTGACTCATTACGTTTATTGCGGGCCAATAAAAAGTAGACAAGAAGGAGCGATGTGACGACACACTGTCAATAAAACTATTAGTAGACAATTAATAGCCGATCGAGTGGCCGGCACAGCACAATTAAGCGAATATCAAGCAGATAGCAAGTGTGAGTTACTGAGTACACTGCAGATGATGGTTTATATTTCTCAGTAGTTGTAATCAGCAAGCACACTCTCCCTCCAGCCACCGCTCCTTCATAAATCCAGCCACCATGACTATGAAATTTAACAGCTGCGTAGTATAAGCTGTAATGAATATTACAGAGAGAGAGAGAGAGAGAGAATATTACTTATACTGCATGAAAGTTCAGGAACTGCGGTGAGGAAATCGATCGTAAAAACAATTGATCGCACAAAAACAGCGCATATTGTTTAAAGTATGTTAAGACTGTAAAATGTTTAATCCACAACAATTCACAAATTCTTTGATGACATGTTCAATCCCAAGCCTGCACATGCGAAAGAAGATAACAGTGCATCACAATAGCCTATAGTACTGTCCTAGATAGGTCACGTGTTTAAAGCAAGCACAAGTTTTACAATTTCATACCATTCACATGGTCTCCGGCTCTCCAAGTTAATAAATATTCAATATTCATACTATGGTCTCCAATTCAATGAATGTTCATACCATAGTCTCCAAGACGATCGATGCCATCTTCTTTTCCATGATGATCTGACCTGGGGATAAATGTTATTGTTTAGTTATATTATTATATTTAAGTTGTGTAACTCACTTAAAACAATCAAGATCTCATGTTAACTATCCACTGTCCGTTGTTCAACAGTTTTAAGTCGAGCATTTTCATTTCAGTACTCAAAATTATTTCGACCTTTACAAAACGGAAACAATTTATCTTAGAACTGTCTTTTCGGTGATTCTTTCAAGAAAATTTCTTATTTTTTCTGAATAGACTCATTGATGACAATGTTCCTAATAAAGGTAAAATTTCAGTACTAAAATTAATTAGAAATACGAAAATAATCTATCCCGCCTAGCATTAACCACTTATCATTGTTCTCAATGGGATTGAAAAGGCCAAACTTAGGTTCAGATATTTGCAGGCCTCGAGGAAAATCATAAGAATAATATCAGATACCGTGAGCTCGCAATATTAAACTTTCACCACATTAACACATGATTACACAGAACTAGCTGCTAAAGCAATACAGCATGAGTTCAGAAGAAATAGTCCGTGTAAAACGTGAGTTAACAGGAAAATAAATTGGCTGCTCCCGACAAACGATCAAACAGACTCGGTCAAACAGAACCGGTCAAACAGAACCGGTCATGCTTGAGTCCGGCATTATTAATTGCTGCATGCTCCTCTAACTCTCTAAAAATACATTAAGTCAAATTCTTAATTGCCATTCTATTACAATTCACATGAACTAGTTTGTGTTCCATTGTGATCCAGCTCCATGCACTCGATGTACTTGATTTACAGGTCGGCGGATTGGAGGAGTTGGACTTCACATGAGTCAATGTTTTTTAAGTGTGCACGTTAAGGTTGGATGCAGTGTTTTAATTACATTCTTAGTTAACGTTTGGACGGTAATAATATCTTCACTCTTCAGTTCTACCCAACACGGATATTATCTCAGCTTTATTACAGAAGTAATAAGTACTGCAGGGAAGCTGCAGCCGAGTAAACTTCATACATTTGCAGATTAACTGGCTAATAGTTGTATAACACGGTACAGAGCAACACCACTCAAGACCAGATGTCCGGGTTATACTACTCCGATCCAGTGACAAAAGGATTTTGCGATTATTTTGGCCAAAAATCGCGATACCGCGATTTTTACAGACTACAAATTAAACTATACATAAAATTTGTCGCAAATAATGGGAAAAATCGCGATTCCATACATGCCGCGATTTCCTTTTGACAAAACAAAAGTTTTGTCCCTGGTCCGGTCAGGTAACATTTCCGGTTAACATTGCGGTAGAAGTGAGGAACTACACCTTGTAGGTAGTGGTACTGAACTGAGTGACACGTGACTGGTCTGTGGTTGTTATGGTAACGGTCAACACATAAAACTCACTGACGGAGTAACGGTAAGATACATGCATGTTTCTTGAGGAAACGTCAAAATAAACATTACTTCTAACCCGTCTAACACATAGTTGAACCTTCAGTTGATGTTATTTAGATGACATTGTGCAATAACTTACACTTTTCGCTAATGATTGCCTTTTCCTGGTTGCCAAAAAATAGTTTAAGATGCAAACATTTCTTGATTAATTTCGGTGTTACAATTACAGTGCCCCGGAATTTGCTAGTTTTGTTGAAAGTTTAGAATTGGCCGGCCCTAAATTAGATTAGTTGTACACGCGGAAGAGCAGATAGGATAGCACTGGTCACGTGGTGTGCCCAGTAGTAAGCCACATTAGGTTTACTCCTGCAGTTCTGCACTGTTAAATTATCTCTGTTACTACAGCGTGTGAGAATGTGGCCCCTGCAGCAGAGAAAGATGTTTCAACTCGTCGCAATCCTGCTCGGGTGTTTGGTTTATTCTGGTTCCTCTGCTGCCGTCGCTAGTGCAACAGGTTTGTTTTAGTTTCTCTGCTAGTGTCGCTAGTGCAACAGGTTTGTTCTAGTTTCTTTGCTAGTGTCGCTAGTGCAACAGGTTTGTTCTAGTTTCTTTGCTAGTGTCGCTAGTGCAACAGCTTTGTTCTAGTTTCTCTGCTAGTGTCGCTAGTGAATCAGGTTTGTTCTAGTTTCTCTGTTAGTGTCGCTAGTGAATCAGGTTTGTTCTAATGGCTGATTTGGTTTCCGGTGGTCGAAGGTATCTAATAAAACATGTAATAATTTCAACAAACCTAAAAGACGTCTTTAAAGCGAAAATATAATCGAGTTGGCAGAGCCATCAAATTCAATGTAAATAGTAATACACGCAAACTGAACAGAAGTACATTTTAAGTAAGTCCTCTGCTCTGTATTTGGTGTTTTACATACACTTGACGTTAAAACATGCAGTGCATTTCAAAATTAGACTGCTTCTTAACGGGCAACATACAGACTAAACTCTAAAGGAATAAAAACAAAATCAGAAGAATGAGAACAAAATCAGAAGAATAAAAAATAATATCAGAAAATCTACTCACCAGATTGACCACGGTGCTGCTGAACTCGAAAACTTTCGTTCGCGTTAGCCATGTGCTACTTTATCTCAGAACTACACTCGTCCCTTATATCTATCCCACTAGTATCTAGATAACAGAGAAACTTGGTACTTGTGAGGCAAAGCCGAGACGTTAAAAGGTCACGTGAATGTGGTAAAATTGAATTGATATCAAATGCATGTTACGAATTATCAGAGCGGAAACATGACATGACCACCACCGTACCACAACCATTGATCAAATGCTTAGTTTCTGCATGAGGATCCTTTCAATAACTTTAAATATGTTCAGAATTAGAGATGATACTAAATAACGCGAATGAATCAATGAATGATAAATCATACTGGATGTGAAAAATAACATTATAATGATAAGACAGTATCACACAACCCCTCTAGAGACAAAGATAGACGTGGTTAATATCACACAACCCCTCTAGAGATAAAGATAGACGTGGTTAATATCACACAACCCCTCTAGAGATAAAGATAGACGTGGTTAATATCACACAACCCTTCTAGAGATAAAGAGAAACGTGGTTAATATCACACAACCCCTCTAGAGATAAAGATAGACGTGGTTAATATCACACAACCCTTCTAGAGATAAAGAAAAACGTGGTTAATATCACACAACCCCTCTAGAGATAAAAAGAAACGTGGTTAATATCCCACAACCCCTCTAGAGATAAAAAGAAACGTGGTTGATATCACACAACCCCTCTAGAGATAAAGATAGACGTGGTTAATATCACACAACCCTTCTAGAGATAAAGAGAAACGTGGTTAATATCACACAACCCCTCTAGAGATAAAAAGAAACGTGGTTAATATCCCACAACCCCTCTAGAGATAAAAAGAAACGTGGTTAATATCACACAACCCCTCTAGAGATAAAGATAGACGTGGTTAATATCACACAACCCTTCTAGAGATAAAGAGAAACGTGGTTAATATCACACAACCCCTCTAGAGATAAAAAGAAACGTGGTTAATATCCCACAACCCCTCTAGAGATAAAAAGAAACGTGGTTGATATCACACAACCTCTCTAGAAATAAAGATAGACGTGGTTAATATCACACAACCCCTCTAGAGATAAAGATAGACGTGGTTAATATCACACACCCCCTCTAGAGATGAAGATAGACGTGGTTAATATCACACAACCCCTCTAGAGATAAAGATAGACGTGGTTAATATCACACAACCCCTCTAGAGATAAAGATAGACGTGGTTAATATCACACAACCCATCTAGAGATAAAGATATACGTGGTTAATATCACACAACCCCTCTAGAGATAAAGATAGACGTGGTTAATATCACACAACCCCTCTAGAGATAAAGATAGACGTGGTTAATATCACACAACCCCTCTAGAGATAAAGATAGACGTGGTTAATATCACACAACCCCTCTAGAAATAAAGATAGACGTGGTTAATATCACACGACCCCTCTAGAGATAAAGATAGACGTGGTTAATATCACACAACCCCTCTAGAGATAAAGATATACGTGGTTATATCACACAAGTCACAACCCCTCTAGAGATAAAGATAGACGTGGTTAATATCACACGACCCCTCTAGAGATAAAGATAGACGTGGTTAATATCACACAACCCCTCTAGAGATAAAGATAGACATGGTTAATATCACACAACCCCTCTAGAGATAAAGATATACGTGGTTAATATCACACAACCCCTCTAGAGATAAAGATAGACGTGGCTGAAGCGTGTACTGATAAGGAGGACGGCTGTGCAGGGTGGGCTAGTGATGACTACTGTCAAACTCAGCGTGATCTCATGTCCTACTACTGTCCGTCTACCTGTGGCTTCTGCAACACTGTACAAGAGGTTACTACTAAATACTAATACTTAATTGTTGGTTGCTTAGTAATTAGGTTACTAGGTAACCGTATTTTTACCAGGGATCATTATTATTATATACCATCATTATCTTGACAAGCTTTAATCTTCTCACATTGTTTGATGTACAAGTCATAGGCCCCTCCGAGAAAAGATGAAGAATTGACAATATGTAATCTCAGGCGACAGATATAATGACAGAGATAGTGGAAAGTATGGTGGAAGCTACTGATCCCTCAACTAACAGGGGGTCATACGTGGACACCAGGTATTATAATATAGACTACTGACTACTGACTACTGACTACTGACTACTGACTACTGACTACTGACTACTGACTACTGACTACTGACTACTGACTACTGACTACTGACTACTGACTACTGACTACTGACTACTGACTACTGACTACTGACTACTGACTACTGACTACATATTATTATGCTCTGTAATCACTCACCAAACTCTACTACATATTATGCTCTGTAATCACTCACCAAACTCTACTACATATTATGCTCTGTAATCACTCACCAAACTCTACTACATATTATGCTCTGTAATCACTCACCAAACTCTACTACATATTATGCTCTGTAATCACTCACCAAACTCAACACACTAAACACAGCCCACCTGAAACTGGTGTTATCATAATATGCAATCAGTTAATACCTAGTATAGCTATTAGCTGCTCCCTGTAAGCCGGGATTTGCTAACAGTCGGAACTATATATATATATACTAGCGGTTATTTAGGTTTTATTCTGAGTGGTCAGCAAAATAATCCATGCCTACACAAAAAGAGTGTTGTAGCCTTTACATTATGAGAATAATGTCTCTAAGAGTAAGAACATTGAAATTTGGAGAACGTTAAATTATTGTAGGCTGCTTCAAAAATCAGATCAAAATTATTAAATCGTTCGATGTGCCAAAAACCTTGAAATTGTCAAATTTGAAAGCTTAATCTAAATATTTGCAGTGATGAAAAAAACTACGATTACAATTCTGATAACGATAACGGTAGCAACGACTACGAAGCTAACTACGAAGCTAACTACGAAGCTAACTACGACTCCGACTATGACTCAGGCTACGAGGTGAAGTCAGACACAGTAACTCCAGCAATAACTAACCAATGTGCAGGGGAGATAAGGAACGGGGAGTTGAAGGACATGACACCCAGCAGTTACGGTTCTGTGGAGTGCACGGAGGGCTTCACTAGAACTGGACCTTATTACATCTACTGTAACGAACAAGGTTAGTGAGGGAGATTTCAGATTTGACAAGTTCCTTGAGGAGTAGGTAGATTTAGGCATAATCTAGTGGCTGGATTTAGGACATATAACCCTTTTCTCGTATAATAACAGGAGACCACTAACCAGAACAACCCGGGCAGGTATAATAACAGGAGACCACTAACCAGAACAACCCGGGCAGGTATAATAACAGGAGACCACTAACCAGAACAACCCGGGCAGGTATAATAACAGGAGACCACTAACCAGAACAACCCGGTCAGGTATAATAACGGGAGACCACTAACCAGAACAACCCGGTCAGGTATAATAACAGGAGACCACTAACCAGAACAACCCGGGCAGGTATAATAACAGGAGACCACTAACCAGAACAACCCGGGCAGGTATAATAACAGGAGACCACTAACCAGAACAACCCGGGCAGGTATAATAACAGGAGACCACTAACCAGAACAACCCGGGCAGGTATAATAACAGGAGACCACTAACCAGAACAACCCGGGCAGGTATAATAACAGGAGACCACTAACCAGAACAACCCGGTCAGGTATAATAACGGGAGACCACTAACCAGAACAACCCGGGCAGGTATAATAACGGGAGACCACTAACCAGAACAACCCGGTCAGGTATAATAACAGGAGACCACTAACCAGAACAACCCGGTCAGGTATAATAACGGGAGACCACTAACCAGAACAACCCGGTCAGGTATAATAACAGGAGACCACTAACCAGAACAACCCGGGCAGGTATAATAACAGGAGACCACTAACCAGAACAACCCGGGCAGGTATAATAACAGGAGACCACTAACCAGAACAACCCGGTCAGGTATAATAACATGAGACCACTAACCAGAACAACCCGGGCAGGTATAATAACGGGAGACCACTAACCAGAACAACCCGGTCAGGTATAATAACAGGAGACCACTAACCAGAACAACCCGGGCAGGTATAATAACAGGAGACCACTAACCAGAACAACCCGGGCAGGTATAATAACAGGAGACCACTAACCAGAACAACCCGGTCAGGTATAATAACAGGAGACCACTAACCAGAACAACCCGGTCAGGTATAATAACAGGAGACCACTAACCAGAACAACCCGGTCAGGTATAATAACAGGAGACCACTAACCAGAACAACCCGGTCAGGTATAATAACAGGAGACCACTAACCAGAACAACCCGGGCAGGTATAATAACAGGAGACCACTAACCAGAACAACCCGGGCAGGTATAATAACAGGAGACCACTAACCAGAACAACCCGGCAGGTATAATAACAGGAGACCACTAACCAGAACAACCCGGTCAGGTATAATAACAGGAGACCACTAACCAGAACAACCCGGGCAGGTATAATAACAGGAGACCACTAACCAGAACAACCCGGGCAGGTATAATAACGGGAGACCACTAACCAGAACAACCCGGGCAGGTATAATAACAGGAGACCACTAACCAGAACAACCCGGGCAGGTATAATAACAGGAGACCACTAACCAGAACAACCCGGGCAGGTATAATAACAGGAGACCACTAACCAGAACAACCCGGTCAGGTATAATAACGGGAGACCACTAACCAGAACAACCCGGGCAGGTATAATAACAGGAGACCACTAACCAGAATAACCCGGGCAGGTATAATAACAGGAGACCACTAACCAGAACAACCCGGTCAGGTATAATAACAGGAGACCACTAACCAGAACAACCCGGACAGGTATAATAACAGGAGACCACTAACCAGAACAACCCGGTCAGGTATAATAACAGGAGACCACTAACCAGAACAACCCGGGCAGGTATAATAACAGGAGACCACTAACCAGAACAACCCGGTCAGGTATAATAACAGGAGACCACTAACCAGAACAACCCGGTCAGGTATAATAACAGGAGACCACTAACCAGAACAACCCGGGCAGGTATAATAACAGGAGACCACTAACCAGAACAACCCGGTCAGGTATAATAACAGGAGACCACTAACCAGAACAACCCGGACAGGTATAATAACGGGAGACCACTAACCAGAACAACCCGGTCAGGTATAATAACAGGAGACCACTAACCAGAACAACCCGGTCAGGTATAATAACAGGAGACCACTAACCAGAACAACCCGGGCAGGTATAATAACAGGAGACCACTAACCAGAACAACCCGGTCAGGTATAATAACGGGAGACTAGACTATTAACCAGAACAACCCGGGCAGGTATAATAACAGGAGACCACTAACCAGAATAACCCGGTCAGGTATAATAACAGGAGACCACTAACCAGAACAACCCGGTCAGGTATAATAACAGGAGACCACTAACCAGAACAACCCGGGCAGGTATAATAACAGGAGACCACTAACCAGAACAACCCGGGCAGGTATAATAACAGGAGACCACTAACCAGAACAACCCGGTCAGGTATAATAACAGGAGACCACTAACCAGAACAACCCGGGCAGGTATAATAACAGGAGACCACTAACCAGAACAACCCGGGCAGGTATAATAACAGGAGACCACTAACCAGAATAACCCGGTCAGGTATAATAACAGGAGACCACTAACCAGAACAACCCGGGCAGGTATAATAACAGGAGACCACTAACCAGAACAACCCGGTCAGGTATAATAACAGGAGACCACTAACCAGAACAACCCGGTCAGGTATAATAACGGGAGACCACTAACCAGAACAACCCGGTCAGGTATAATAACAGGAGACCACTAACCAGAACAACCCGGGCAGGTATAATAACAGGAGACCACTAACCAGAACAACCCGGGCAGGTATAATAACAGGAGACCACTAACCAGAATAACCCGGTCAGGTATAATAACAGGAGACCACTAACCAGAACAACCCGGTCAGGTATAATAACAGGAGATCACTAACGAGAACAACCCGGGCAGGTATAATAACAGGAGACCACTAACCAGAACAACCCGGTCAGGTATAATAACAGGAGACCACTAACCAGAACAACCCGGTCAGGTATAATAACAGGAGACCACTAACCAGAACAACCCGGGCAGGTATAATAACAGGAGACCACTAACCAGAACAACCCGGGCAGGTATAATAACAGGAGACCACTAACCAGAACAACCCGGGCAGGTATAATAACAGGAGACCACTAACCAGAACAACCCGGGCAGGTATAATAACGGGAGACCACTAACCAGAACAACCCGGTCAGGTATAATAACGGGAGACCTGCCTACTTGTGAGAGGAAATGTAGCGATATAAAGATAGAGGGAGGAAACATAGAACCTCCCGAGAATGAGAAGCAAGGATGGTTATATGTTTCGGTGAGTTACTGACACTGTGAGATATACGTGATGGTTATGTAGCGATGCTAGTACAGCTAGTAGATACGTGCTGAGCTGCGGTGATGACGGTGATTCTAATTTTCTGTGCTTTCTATTGCCGTTAAAAGCTGTGGTCACAGTGACCGGGTACTGATAACTAACGTCAATATTTTGTGTAGGAATTAGGTCTCATTATTCACATAATTAGACGGTTATGTGACCAAATCTCTAACACAACGTATTGATCAGCTCGGTAACGCTTTGATCTTCTCCAGCTCAAATTAAATCGCTCAATTGTTGATAACCGTTTAACGTTAGCTATCTCCCACAATCCACACTGTGTTTTAACTGGACCGCCGTTCTTAACCACCAAATATTTCTCATTGATGTGGTGTTCGTATTTTGCTTATTTCAACTGCCATTCATTGTCAAGAGTAGAAGTTGGGTAACTTTTCGGTTAAGTAACCTTAATCCACCACGAGTCACGACTGCAGTCAAATGGTTATACTTTCAGGAGTTTCCTAGGACAAAATATATAGTTTAACTTAACCACAACTGCAGATCACTAATATATTTGACTAAATTATATAAAACTTGGTTGTGAAGAAGAGAATGTATTTCAGTGTTATAACCAGTGTAACAAAATGATGGAACAGTAAGAAATGTAACAACTAGAGTAATTGAGTGATTAGAGTTTGGAAACTGAAGTAATTAAGTGATTAGAGTTTGGAAACTGAAGTAATTAAGTGATTAGAGTGTAACAACTAGAGAAATGTTCAGTGATTAGAGTGTAACAACTAGAGAAATGTTAAGTGATTAGAGTGTAACAACTAGAGAAATGTTACGTGATTAGAGTGTAACAACTAGAGAAATGTTAAGTGATTAGAGTGTAACAACTAGAGATATGTAAAGTGATTAGAGTGTAACAACTAGAGAAATGTTATGTGATTAGAGTGTAACAACTAGAGAAATGTTATGTGATTAGAGTGTAACAACTAGAGAAATGTTAAGTGATTAGAGTGTAACAACTAGAGATATGTTAAGTGATTAGAGTGTAACAACTAGAGAAATGTTATGTGATTAGAGTGTAACAACTAGAGATATGTTAAGTGATTAGAGTGTAACAACTAGAGAAATGTTATGTGATTAGAGTGTAACAACTAGAGAAATGTTAAGTGATTAGAGTGTAACAACTAGAGATATGTTAAGTGATTAGAGTGTAACAACTAGAGAAATGTTATGTGATTAGAGTGTAACAACTAGAGAAATGTTAAGTGATTAGAGTGTAACAACTAGAGAAATGTTAAGTGATTAGAGTGTAACAACTAGAGAAATGTTATGTGATTAGAGTGTAACAACTAGAGAAATGTTAAGTGATTAGAGTGTAACAACTAGAGATATGTAAAGTGATTAGAGTGTAACAACTAGAGAAATGTTATGTGATTAGAGTGTAACAACTAGAGAAATGTTAAGTGATTAGAGTGTAACACCCCTACTCCGCAGTGTAACGAAGGTAAAAGCCTGGAAGGTAACACCCCTACTCCGCAGTGTAACGAAGGTAAAAGCCTGGAAGGTAAAGCGTGTAACACCCCTACTCCGCAGTGTAAGGAAGGTAAAAGCCTGAGTGTAACACCCCTACTCCGCAGTGTAACGAAGGTAAAAGCCTGGAAGGTAAAGCGTGGAACTGGTGTGACAGAGGTGTGGTGGATGTGATTCCCAAATGTGTGGGAGGAGAAACTACCAGCGAGGAGCAGATCATCTCCCCAGACAACACTGCCTCTGAGGTAGACTACGATACAAACTACAAGGAGGATGAGGAGGAGTACACTGAGAAGAAGGAGGAGGAGGTAGGGGGAGCGTACGGAGGCTGTCCTCTGGAAGAGGTGGAGAATGGAATGTGGACTGACCCGTACCAGAGCAGTACTTACTGGATACTAGAGTGTAACACTGGGTAAGTACCAGAGCAGTACTTACTGGATACTAGAGTGTAACACTGGGTAAGTACCAGAGCAGCACTTACTGGATACTAGAGTGTAACACTGGGTAAGTACCAGAGCAGCACTTACTGGATACTAGAATGTAACACTGGGTAAGTACCAGAGCAGGACTTACTGGATACTAGAGTGTAACACTGGGTAGGTACCAGAGCAGTACTTACTGGATACTAGAGTGTAACACTGGGTAAGTACCAGAGCAGTACTTACTGGATACTAGAGTGTAACACTGGGTAAGTACCAGAGCAGTACTTACTGGATACTAGAGTGTAACACTGGGTAAGTACCAGAGCAGTACTTACTGGATACTAGAGTGTAACACTGGGTAGGTACCAGAGCAGTACTTACTGGATACTAGAGTGTAACACTGGGTAAGTACCAGAGCAGTACTTACTGGATACTAGAGTGTAACACTGGGTAGGTACCAGAGCAGCACTTACTGGATACTAGAGTGTAACACTGGGTAAGTACCAGAGCAGTACTTACTGGATACTAGAGTGTAACACTGGGTAAGTACCAGAGCAGTACTTACTGGATACTAGAGTGTAACACTGGGTAAGTACCAGAGCAGCACTTACTGGATACTAGAGTGTAACACTGGGTAAGTACCAGAGCAGTACTTACTGGATACTAGAGTGTAACACTGGGTAGGTACCAGAGCAGTACTTACTGGATACTAGAGTGTAACACTGGGTAAGTACCAGAGCAGTACTTACTGGATACTAGAGTGTAACACTGGGTAAGTACCAGAGCAGTACTTACTGGATACTAGAGTGTAACACTGGGTAAGTACCAGAGCAGTACTTACTGGATACTAGAGTGTAACACTGGGTAAGTACCAGAGCAGTACTTACTGGATACTAGAGTGTAACACTGGGTAAGTACCAGAGCAGTACTTACTGGATACTAGAGTGTAACACTGGGTAAGTATCAGAGCAGTACTTACTGGATACTAGAGTGTAACACTGGGTAAGTACCAGAGCAGTACTTACTGGATACTAGAGTGTAAAACTGGGTAAGTACCAGAGCAGCACTTACTGGATACTAGAGTGTAACACTGGGTAAGTACCAGAGCAGCACTTACTGGATACTAGAGTGTAACACTGGGTAAGTACCAGAGCAGTACTTACTGGATACTAGAGTGTAACACTGGGTAAGTACCAGAGCAGTACTTACTGGATACTAAAGTGTAACACTGGGTAAGTACCAGAGCAGTACTTACTGGATACTAGAGTGTAACACTGGGTAAGTACCAGAGCAGCACTTACTGGATACTAGAGTGTAACACTGGGTAGGTACCAGAGCAGTACTTACTGGATACTAGAGTGTAACACTGGGTAAGTACCAGAGCAGTACTTACTGGATACTAGAGTGTAACACTGGGTAAGTACCAGAGCAGCACTTACTGGATATTAGAGTGTAACACTGGGTAAGTACCAGAGCAGCACTTACTGGATACTAGAGTGTAACACTGGGTAAGTACCAGAGCAGCACTTACTGGATACTAGAGTGTAACACTGGGTAGGTACCAGAGCAGCACTTACTGGATACTAGAGTGTAACACTGGGTAGGTACCAGAGCAGGACTTACTGGATACTAGAGTGTAACACTGGGTAGGTACCAGAGCAGTACTTACTGGATACTAGAGTGTAACACTGGGTAGGTACCAGAGCAGTACTTACTGGATACTAGAGTGTAACACTGGGTAAGTATCAGAGCAGCACTTACTGGATACTAGAGTGTAACACTGGGTAAGTACCAGAGCAGCACTTACTGGATACTAGAGTGTAACACTGGGTAAGTACCAGAGCAGTACTTACTGGATACTAGAGTGTAACACTGGGTAAGTACCAGAGCAGTACTTACTGGATACTAGAGTGTAACACTGGGTAAGTACCAGAGCAGTACTTACTGGATACTAGAGTGTAACACTGGGTAAGTACCAGAGCAGTACTTACTGGATACTAGAGTGTAACACTGGGTAAGTACCAGAGCAGTACTTACTGGATACTAGAGTGTAACACTGGGTAAGTACCAGAGCAGTACTTACTGGATACTAGAGTGTAACACTGGGTAAGTACCAGAGCAGTACTTACTGGATACTAGAGTGTAACACTGGGTAGTACCAGAGCAGTACTTACTGGATACTAGAGTGTAACACTGGGTATGTACCAGAGCAGTACTTACTGGATACTAGAGTGTAACACTGGGTAAGTACCAGAGCAGTACTTACTGGATACTAGAGTGTAACACTGGGTAAGTACCAGAGCAGTACTTACTGGATACTAGAGTGTAACACTGGGTAAGTACCAGAGCAGTACTTACTGGATACTAGAGTGTAACACTGGGTAGTACCAGAGCAGTACTTACTGGATACTAGAGTGTAAAACTGGGTAAGTACCAGAGCAGCACTTACTGGATACTAGAGTGTAACACTGGGTAAGGTACCAGAGCAGCACTTACTGGATACTAGAGTGTAACACTGGGTAAGTACCAGAGCAGTACTTACTGGATACTAGAGTGTAACACTGGGTAAGTACCAGAGCAGTACTTACTGGATACTAAAGTGTAACACTGGGTAAGTACCAGAGCAGTACTTACTGGATACTAGAGTGTAACACTGGGTAAGTACCAGAGCAGCACTTACTGGATACTAGAGTGTAACACTGGGTAAGTACCAGAGCAGCACTTACTGGATATTAGAGTGTAACACTGGGTAAGTACCAGAGCAGCACTTACTGGATACTAGAGTGTAACACTGGGTAGGTACCAGAGCAGTACTTACTGGATACTAGAGTGTAACACTGGGTAAGTACCAGAGCAGTACTTACTGGATACTAGAGTGTAACACTGGGTAAGTACCAGAGCAGCACTTACTGGATACTAGAGTGTAACACTGGGTAAGTACCAGAGCAGACTTACTGGATACTAGAGTGTAACACTGGGTAAGTACCAGAGCAGTACTTACTGGATACTAGAGTGTAACACTGGGTAGTACCAGAGCAGTACTTACTGGATACTAGAGTGTAACACTGGGTAAGTACCAGAGCAGTACTTACTGGATACTAGAGTGTAACACTGGGTAAGTACCAGAGCAGCACTTACTGGATACTAGAGTGTAACACTGGGTATGTACCAGAGCAGTACTTACTGGATACTAGAGTGTAACACTGGGTAAGTACCAGAGCAGTACTTACTGGATACTAGAGTGTAACACTGGGTAAGTACCAGAGCAGTACTTACTGGATACTAGAGTGTAACACTGGGTAAGTACCAGAGCAGTACTTACTGGATACTAGAGTGTAACACTGGGTAAGTACCAGAGCAGTACTTACTGGATACTAGAGTGTAACACTGGGTAAGTACCAGAGCAGTACTTACTGGATACTAGAGTGTAACACTGGGTAAGTACCAGAGCAGTACTTACTGGATACTAGAGTGTAACACTGGGTAGGTACCAGAGCAGTACTTACTGGATACTAGAGTGTAACACTGGGTAGTACCAGAGCAGCAGTACTTACTGGATACTAGAGTGTAACACTGGGTAGTACCAGAGCAGTACTTACTGGATACTAGAGTGTAACACTGGTAAGTACCAGAGCAGTACTTACTGGATACTAGAGTGTAACACTGGGTAAGTACCAGAGCAGTACTTACTGGATACTAGAGTGTAACACTGGGTAAGTACCAGAGCAGTACTTACTGGATACTAGAGTGTAACACTGGGTAAGTACCAGAGCAGTACTTACTGGATACTAGAGTGTAACACTGGGTAAGTACCAGAGCAGTACTTACTGGATACTAGAGTGTAACACTGGGTAAGTACCAGAGCAGTACTTACTGGATACTAGAGTGTAACACTGGGTAAGTACCAGAGCAGTACTTACTGGATACTAGAGTGTAACACTGGGTAAGTACCAGAGCAGTACTTACTGGATACTAGAGTGTAACACTGGGTAAGTACCAGAGCAGCACTTACTGGATACTAGAGTGTAACACTGGGTAAGTACCAGAGCAGTACTTACTGGATACTAGAGTGTAACACTGGGTAAGTACCAGAGCAGTACTTACTGGATACTAGAGTGTAACACTGGGTAAGTACCAGAGCAGTACTTACTGGATACTAGAGTGTAACACTGGGTAAGTACCAGAGCAGTACTTACTGGATACTAGAGTGTAACACTGGGTAAGTACCAGAGCAGTACTTACTGGATACTAGAGTGTAACACTGGGTAAGTACCAGAGCAGTACTTACTGGATACTAGAGTGTAACACTGGGTAAGTACCAGAGCAGTACTTACTGGATACTAGAGTGTAACACTGGGTAAGTACCAGAGCAGTACTTACTGGATACTAGAGTGTAACACTGGGTAAGTACCAGAGCAGTACTTACTGGATACTAGAGTGTAACACTGGGTAAGTACCAGAGCAGTACTTACTGGATACTAGAGTGTAACACTGGGTAAGTACCAGAGCAGTACTTACTGGATACTAGAGTGTAACACTGGGTAGGTACCAGAGCAGCACTTACTGGATACTAGAGTGTAACACTGGGTAGGTACCAGAGCAGCACTTACTGGATACTATAGTGTAACACTGGGTAGGTACCAGAGCAGTACTTACTGGATACTAGAGTGTAACACTGGGTAGGTACCAGAGCAGCACTTACTGGATACTAAAGTGTAACACTGGGTAGGTACCAGAGCAGCACTTACTGGATACTATAGTGTAACACTGGGTAAGTACCAGAGCAGTACTTACTGGATACTAGAGTGTAACACTGGGTAAGTACCAGAGCAGTACTTACTGGATACAAGAGTGTAACACTGGGTAAGTACCAGAGCAGTACGTACTGGATACTAGACTGTAACACTGGGTAAGTACCAGAGCAGTACTTACTGGATACTAGAGTGTAACACTGGGTAAGTACCAGAGCAGTACTTACTGGATACAAGAGTGTAACACTGGGTAAGTACCAGAGCAGTACTTACTGGATACTAGAGTGTAACACTGGGTAAGTACCAGAGCAGCACTTACTGGATACTATAGTGTAACACTGGGTAAGTACCAGAGCAGTACTTACTGGATACTAGAGTGTAACACTGGGTAAGTACCAGAGCAGCACTTACTGGATACTAGACTGTAACACTGGGTAAGTACCAGAGCAGCACTTACTGGATACTAGAGTGTAACACTGGGTAAGTACCAGAGCAGTACTTACTGGATACTAGAGTGTAACACTGGTAAGTACCAGAGCAGCACTTACTGGATACTAGAGTGTAACACTGGGTAAGTACCAGAGCAGCACTTACTGGATACTAGAGTGTAACACTGGGTAGGTACCAGAGCAGTACTTACTGGATACTAGAGTGTAACACTGGGTAAGTACCAGAGCAGTACTTACTGGATACTAGAGTGTAACACTGGGTAAGTACCAGAGCAGTACTTACTGGATACTAGAGTGTTACACTGGGTAAGTACCAGAGCAGTACTTACTGGATACTAGAGTGTAACACTGGGTAAGTACCAGAGCAGTACTTACTGGATACTAGAGTGTAACACTGGGTAAGTACCAGAGCAGTACTTACTGGATACTAGAGTGTAACACTGGGTAAGTACCAGAGCAGTACTTACTGGATACTAGAGTGTAACACTGGGTAAGTACCAGAGCAGTACTTACTGGATACTAGAGTGTAACACTGGGTAAGTACCAGAGCAGTACTTACTGGATACTAGAGTGTAACACTGGGTAAGTACCAGAGCAGTACTTACTGGATACTAGAGTGTAACACTGGGTAAGTACCAGAGCAGTATTTACTGGATACTAGAGTGTAACACTGGGTAGGTACCAGAGCAGCACTTACTGGATACTAGAGTGTAACACTGGGTAAGTACCAGAGCAGTACTTACTGGATACTAGAGTGTAACACTGGGTAAGTACCAGAGCAGTACTTACTGGATACAAGAGTGTAACACTGGGTAAGTACCAGAGCAGTACGTACTGGATACTAGACTGTAACACTGGGTAAGTACCAGAGCAGCACTTACTGGATACTAGAGTGTAACACTGGGTAAGTACCAGAGCAGTACTTACTGGATACAAGAGTGTAACACTGGGTAAGTACCAGAGCAGTACTTACTGGATACTAGAGTGTAACACTGGGTAAGTACCAGAGCAGCACTTACTGGATACTATAGTGTAACACTGGGTAAGTACCAGAGCAGTACTTACTGGATACTAGAGTGTAACACTGGGTAAGTACCAGAGCAGCACTTACTGGATACTAGACTGTAACACTGGGTAAGTACCAGAGCAGCACTTACTGGATACTAGAGTGTAACACTGGGTAAGTACCAGAGCAGCACTTACTGGATACTAGAGTGTAACACTGGGTAAGTACCAGAGCAGTACTTACTGGATACTAGAGTGTAACACTGGGTAAGTACCAGAGCAGTACTTACTGGATACTAGAGTGTTACACTGGGTAAGTACCAGAGCAGTACTTACTGGATACTAGAGTGTAACACTGGGTAAGTACCAGAGCAGTACTTACTGGATACTAGAGTGTAACACTGGGTAAGTACCAGAGCAGTACTTACTGGATACTAGAGTGTAACACTGGGTAAGTACCAGAGCAGTACTTACTGGATACTAGAGTGTAACACTGGGTAAGTACCAGAGCAGTACTTACTGGATACTAGAGTGTAACACTGGGTAAGTACCAGAGCAGTACTTACTGGATACTAGAGTGTAACACTGGGTAAGTACCAGAGCAGTACTTACTGGATACTAGAGTGTAACACTGGGTAAGTACCAGAGCAGTATTTACTGGATACTAGAGTGTAACACTGGGTAGGTACCAGAGCAGCACTTACTGGATACTAGAGTGTAACACTGGGTAGGTACCAGAGCAGTACTTACTGGATACTAGAGTGTAACACTGGGTAAGTACCAGAGCAGCACTTACTGGATACTAGAGTGTAACACTGGGTAAGTACCAGAGCAGTACTTACTGGATACTAGAGTGTAACACTGGGTAAGTACCAGAGCAGTACTTACTGGATACTAGAGTGTAACACTGGGTAAGTACCAGAGCAGTACTTACTGGATACTAGAGTGTAACACTGGGTAGGTACCAGAGCAGCACTTACTGGATACTATAGTGTAACACTGGGTAAGTACCAGAGCAGTACTTACTGGATACTAGAGTGTAACACTGGGTAAGTACCAGAGCAGGACTTACTGGATACTAAAGTGTAACACTGGGTAGGTACCAGAGCAGCACTTACTGGATACTATAGTGTAACACTGGGTAAGTACCAGAGCAGTACTTACTGGATACTAGAGTGTAACACTGGGTAAGTACCAGAGCAGTACTTACTGGATACAAGAGTGTAACACTGGGTAAGTACCAGAGCAGTACGTACTGGATACTAGACTGTAACACTGGGTAAGTACCAGAGCAGCACTTACTGGATACTAGAGTGTAACACTGGGTAAGTACCAGAGCAGTACTTACTGGATACTAGAGTGTAACACTGGGTAGGTACCAGAGCAGTACTTACTGGATACTAGAGTGTAACACTGGGTAAGTACCAGAGCAGTACTTACTGGATACTAGAGTGTAACACTGGGTAAGTACCAGAGCAGTACTTACTGGATACTAGAGTGTAACACTGGGTAAGTACCAGAGCAGTACTTACTGGATACTAGAGTGTAACACTGGGTAAGTACCAGAGCAGTACTTACTGGATACTAGAGTGTAACACTGGGTAAGTACCAGAGCAGTACTTACTGGATACTAGAGTGTAACACTGGGTAAGTACCAGAGCAGTACTTACTGGATACTAGAGTGTAACACTGGGTAAGTACCAGAGCAGTACTTACTGGATACTAGAGTGTAACACTGGGTAAGTACCAGAGCAGTACTTACTGGATACTAGAGTGTAAAACTGGGTAAGTACCAGAGCAGTACTTACTGGATACTAGAGTGTAACACTGGGTAAGTATCAGAGCAGTACTTACTGGATACTAGAGTGTAACACTGGGTAAGTACCAGAGCAGTACTTACTGGATACTAGAGTGTAACACTGGGTAAGTACCAGAGCAGTATTTACTGGATACTAGAGTGTAACACTGGGTAGGTACCAGAGCAGCACTTACTGGATACTAGAGTGTAACACTGGGTAGGTACCAGAGCAGTACTTACTGGATACTAGAGTGTAACACTGGGTAGGTACCAGAGCAGTACTTACTGGATACTAGAGTGTAACACTGGGTAAGTACCAGAGCAGCACTTACTGGATACTAGAGTGTAACACTGGGTAAGTACCAGAGCAGCACTTACTGGATACTAGAGTGTAACACTGGGTAAGTACCAGAGCAGTACTTACTGGATACTAGAGTGTAACACTGGGTAAGTACCAGAGCAGTACTTACTGGATACTAGAGTGTAACACTGGGTAAGTACCAGAGCAGTACTTACTGGATACTAGAGTGTAACACTGGGTAAGTACCAGAGCAGTACTTACTGGATACTAGAGTGTAACACTGGGTAAGTACCAGAGCAGTACTTACTGGATACTAGAGTGTAACACTGGGTAAGTACCAGAGCAGTACTTACTGGATACTAGAGTGTAACACTGGGTAAGTACCAGAGCAGTACTTACTGGATACTAGAGTGTAACACTGGGTAAGTACCAGAGCAGTACTTACTGGATACTAGAGTGTAACACTGGGTAAGTACCAGAGCAGCACTTACTGGATACTAGAATGTAACACTGGGTAGGAGATATTAGTAATATGCTTTTAGTTATCATGTTATAAGGAATCAAGCAAGGATATAAAATAGGGGCTAGGGTAAAATAAATTAAGCTAAGAAGATCCCAGACCTGCAGAAAATGACCACTAAAATATCACATGTCATATTCCTCTAAGGTATGTGAAGAACGGAGGGGACAGCTACGTTTACTGTGATGACAAGAAAGAAGTGACGGGAGTAGCTCCTCAGTGTGAGGAAGACAAGTGTGCAAACGCAAAGGTGGAGAACGGAGTGGTGACTACTTCAGGGACCGGGGCTTGGATATGGGTCAAGGTTAGAACCTAACAGAAACAAATACCTTAACTGTCTAGCTGTAACTGATAATTATTGATTCGATAACTGTTAGATGTATTATATTAAAAATAGTACTCTACCTACCAAACAGTGGTAAAGAATATTAAAAATATGTTATAAATGCGAAGATAAATTAAATAATCACCAAGCGTTCCAACCGTTAGGAGATGAAATACTGTGGTCAGTGCCTAGGCAACCCACCTCTAGTAACTAGGCAACCCACCTCTGGTAACTTTCCCAGAGTGTTAAACTACTCCTCATAATAAGCTAACCTATTCGGGGGGTTTATAAGCTGCAATGAGTACCAGTAACTTAGTGAGCTAGCTAACTGAATTAGGAACAGTAAGATGGCGGGTATGATGACGTCACATAATAAGGAGCCTGAAAGGACAAGGGGCGGGGTGATATTACCATGACACGGAGTTATCCTCATAATTATTATATCCACCACGTGCTGATAGTTTTACTAGATCCTATAATATGTAAGCTGGTTATAACCGTAATGGTTGTTATTTTTGCAAATTGCCGAGCTGGCTTGATCAGAACCAGCCCAGTTGTTACAAAGCTATTTAAAAGTCAGGAAGGTCACAATGTTGGGACACGTGCCTGCTTCTAGAGTATTAGGGCAATATGGTCTTACTATTTGAAACGTATTTAAGTAAACTAAATCAGCGAAGTTACTAAAAACGTTCATAGTTCTTACGATTATTCACAACTCATGATTCAGTTTTAAAACTAACAGTTTGATGTGTACAGGTGGAGTGTAACCCAGGATACAGTTTGTCTGGTAGTGACGGGACCTACTGCAGTAGCACTGACGGTGCATTATCTGCTCCTCTCGGTACCTGCAACATGTGATATTATGTAGTGACGGGACCTACTGCAGTAGCACTGACGGTGCATTATCTGCTCCTCTCGGTACCTGCAACATGTAATAATGTAACATATACTCTGGGACATGTAATAATGTAACATTCCTGGACATATAATAACAGGTTTCACATCGAACCTGTACAATTTAATAAAGATGATTGACTTTTGACAAAAGAAAGAGTTTCGTTAAAATCACCTAGTTTGTGTTGGTGCATTATTAAGAAAAGAAGTTTTCACCGGTTGAACAACCTTTTAGTTTTATGCGTTTTGGTAAGATACGGAAATATTGTTATTTTGGGATAGATTTTATATGTTTTTTAGAATTATCACATTAATGAATGGAAGTACATCATTAAAAGTAAGCCTGCTTTCTACCCGTTCTCTTATTATTAAATTTGGTTGACCTGCTGTCGTCACAACAGAACTCATTTGCAAAATAGAGAATCGATCAAATCCTTAAGATGAGTGTACTTCACAAATCAAAACAAATTTAATCAAAGATTCGATTAATCACAGAAAATTTGAAAACATTTGATCGAGTTTCCACTGTCTAATTGCAATGTCCAGTTGTCTGTAGTTTGACACTCCCTGAATGTCATAGCCCTATTAAGGGGGCATACACCAAAACAGTGGTTTGTGCCGTCCAGACCAAATGACCTCATAGGCAGTTCAGTGACCTTCTAGCGCACCGTTTCCACACAAAAAAAATCATTTTGAGAATTCCCATTTTTGTAATCGACCATTTCCTGGTTAAGAGTGCAATTTTCGGAAAAAATAATTTTTTGGTTGAGACGCTATAAGTTAATCATTTCTTGCGGTATCGGGTTGCTCGCCGTTTATTCACATCTATTTCAATGTGTGTGTAAAATCTTGATATCGTATCTAAAAAGGCTGGTGTGTTATGAATTTTTAAAGTCAAAAAGCTAAAATTGTCTGTAGTTTGTAACTCCCTGAATATCATAGCCCATATTAAAGAACCTAAAGAATTGAACAAAACCTGGAAATCAAGTAATAATTAGGTGAATAAATAATTAGGTAATAATTAAGTAAATAAATTGTATGCAGTTCAATCTAACCAACGGGTATTGTTAGGCGAAAACTTCTTCGATCCATGTATTATGTATAATGGAATGGAACAAATAATAATACGATTTCAGGTGCTGTAATAAATATTGAAACATTATAAATCAAGTACAATCAGGTCACGGTGTTCAGATATTCTCAAAATTTAACACCATTAAAAAGGCAAAACTTCAACCTTTTCATTTAACTAGGCATATCATTATCCATCTAGCATATTAAATCGAGGTCACACTATGCAGTTCAAATCAGTTCAAATCAGTCCTTCAAATTTCAATAGCTTTAGATCACGGAACACAGACATATTGTGTAGAATTAAAGAACACCAAACAGTCACCCTCCGGTCCACTCTCAGGCACCGGTTCAGCTCCAGGCACTGGTAGTGGTAGTTTAGATCTGTGGTCCTAGACCCCGACTCCAGAAGCCTGTTGGTTCTTATAAGCTTTAGAGTCCCTGTATTTGGAGATTAGCTGCTCTTGTAAGTGGTAATCTACTTCTTTGTTTTCTTTAAATTCCATCGTAAACGTTCCCATTCCAGATGTGTGTTTCCTGGGGTTACATTTGTATCACAATTTTGGAAAATTCAATTTTACTTACTACTTTAGGCTGTCAAATTTTAGGTTGTTTTTTTCAAACTACCCACCCCGATTTAAAAACTGTATCAAATTGTTTAATTGTAGGTCAATTTACCGGTCGATATAATATAAACATAACTATGTACACATACCTGAGGTATGAGCTGTATCCGAACATGACTTGCAGTGGAGCAGACGCTGTCACATGACACAGACCCTCCTGAATATCCAGATCCTTCATCTTACCCCCTCTCTCGTTTATACTCTGTATTACATCCCCACTGTAGTCCTTAGGAGCTGAAACCTGGGACAGATAGACTATATCTCGTGTGTACACCAGATAGAGGAACCTATATTATCTGATATACAAGCAGGGAATGAAACAGTAACGCTCTAACTAGATCTGCGAGAATTTGATAAAAACGTCAAAACAAGGACAGTTGTAAACATGAGATGTGAGAATGCTATTTAAAATACAAAAACAAGTTGACTGCTACCTCGATATCCATCCAGGGTTCCAGAACAGTAGCCTTCTCCACAAAATGCTCCTTTATAGCATAATACCCAACTCTAGAGAAAGCCCAGTCAGACGAGTCCACGTTATGAGTCCTGCCTCCTCTCAGAGTAAACCTTATCCCTGATATCTTGTGACCAGTGAGTGCTCCCTCGAGACACGCTTCCCTCACTCCCTTCTCCACACTCTTTATAAAGTTACTGGTTATCATCCCCCCTGTCACACTGTTAACGAACTCTACCTCTGCGTTCGCGTCCTCTAAGGGCTCTATCTCTCCGTAACCCTCCCCGAACTGTCCTCGTCCTCCTGACTGTCTCTTGTAGGTAACAGCAAACTCTACTGGCTTTGTTAGTGTCTCTCTGAGAGGAAGGTTCTATCAGCATATGTAGTGTTTAACAGGGTATTTTAAATAAAACCGTACAACACATGAATAAATACTAAATAGGGGTAGATATCATTTTTACCTGTAATTGACGGTGGGTTCTAACCGGTAATTGACGGTGGGTTCTAACCTGTAATTGACGGTGGGTTCTAACCTGTAATTGACGGTGGGTTCTAACCTGTAATTGACGGTGGGTTCTAACCTGTAATTGACGGTGGGTTCTAACCTGTAATTGACGATGGGTTCTAACCTGTAATTGACGGTGGGTTCTAACCTGTAATTGACGGTGGGTTCTAACCTGTAATTGACGGTGGGTTCTAACCTGTAATTGACGGTGGGTTCTAACCTGTAATTGACGGTGGGTTCTAACCTGTAATTGACGGTGGGTTCTAACCTGTAATTGACGGTGGGTTCTAACCTGTAATTGACGGTGGGTTCTAACCTGTAATTGACGGTGGGTTCTAACCTGTAATTGACGGTGGGTTATAACCTGTAATTGACGGTGGGTTCTCCGAGCTGAACTTCACAGTCATACTCCCTCCTTATCCTCTCAGCGTAGATATCTAACTGTAATTCTCCCATCCCACTGATAACAATCTCCTTGTTCTCGGGGTTAAACTTACTTCTGAACGTGGGGTCTTCTTTCTGTAGGAGTGGCTTTGTTAGAAACTGTATACAAAACAATTGTCATAATGATTAATAATCATGATAGAGTAATTATTTAGTAATGATTTAGTTATATTGGGGTAATTTCACAGCACTAAAATGTGAAATGAAACTCACGACAAAGCGAGCGAGTGCTTTTGAGAACTTGTCGTCATCTTTGTGGTGCAAATTCTTGATTGCCATGGAGATGACTGGTTCAGGTATAAACATGCTCTCCATGGAGACGATATCGTTCTTAGGAATCTTAGCGTCCACAAACGTGTCCCCACTAGCACATGCAGCACCTGGGAGAAATTAAATTGTTCTTATCTTTCCGAAACAAATATAACTAATCATGTTACAAAATGCAGCTTTTCGATACAGCAGGTTGTTTGATTCAGAGGCTTTCAAATAATTTGAGTCAAATCGCCATATTGCCATATAAGGTAGTATTGATATGGTTACATCACCATATAAGGTAGTAGTAGTACTAACCGACCATAGCTACAATATCCCCAGAGTAAGCAGCCATCACGTTCTCAGTCTCGTTACTGTGCATCAGAACTAATCTGGGTACCCTCTGTTTCTCACCTGCAACCCAGTTATAGGGGGTTTTAGTCTTATAACTACAGCAAAGTATCATTTCAGAATCCCTTTATATCCCACAAAAGCACTTATAGTTGCACAGCACTAATTAACACTAGGTAGGCTCACTGCAATGTAATATTTAGTAAACTAAATTACCGGTTCTAGTATTGATCATCTGACCGCCCCGTTTAAAGCAGCCCTGGTACATTCTAATATAGGTGAGCTGACCGAACTGGTTCTCCTCAAGTTTAAACGCTAATCCTACAGCTGGGTTAGAGGTAGAGCGTTCAGACGACATCAGCACCTGGACAATGGTTATAAAGTTCAGTAAGTTGGTTAAAGAACTTGAAAAAGTAGAGAATATTGCAATGTTTGCGTCCAGTTATAATCATACTTAATCACTTAATTATTTTTAATTGTTTAATAATGGTAGTTACCTTCTCCTCTGTGAGAGCGTTGATGGCGTAGTTCTGAACCTCACTAGGGTTAGGAAGGTACGTGTTCACACAGTCCAGTAGAGTCTGTACTCCCTGAAACACTAGACATTAGTAACCTTGGTAACCAAGACTTAGTAACCTTGGTAACCAATACTTAGTAACCTTGTATCTACGGTGCATAATACGTTCATTATTATCATTGATTATGTTGCATAATTAAAAAGGTCAGCACAGTTCAAGGATTTATAAATAACTGACCTTGTTCTTAAGAGCAGACCCACAAATAACAGGAGTAAAACTCTGTGTTCTCACTGATCTCTTAATAGCCTCCTCTATAGCTAAGTTACTGATCTCCTCCTCCATTAGGTACCTGTGATAGGAGACAGTTAACACAGGGAGGCAGTGCACGTTAGATATTATTTAGCAGTGTTACCATAGTAACATTACCCTATATATATGGTGATGTTATAGATATCACATACGTTGAATAGGTTACTTAAGTAAGGTGGTTACAAGCTGGTTACTAGGTTATTACAAGCTGGTTACTAGCTTATAACTTGCTGGTTACTAGGTTACTTACATTTCCCCGATTTGCTCGTCTACATTACTAAGGCTCTCCACCAGCTCCCTCCTCTTGGTAATCAGTTCCCCCTCCAGAGAAGTAGGTAGGTCCTTGTAGACCACATTCTCCCCGTTCTCCCCTCAAAGTAAACACTTCTCTCTCCCAACACGTCTACTAGTCCTTCGAACGTCCTCTCAGCTCCTGGGAGGAGTCACGTGTTCAATCACGTGTGTAAGTTAGGACTGCTACACGTATATCACGTGATACGTTTTTTAAGGAATTGTTGAATCCACCAGTCAAATAAATAAGTAAATGATGTAATTACACAGTGCAGCGCAATGCATCCCCCCCCCCCCCCCTCACGGCACTAAACTTACCTATAGGGAAGTAAAGGAAAGCAGCGTTGAGTGCCATATTATCCCTCATCTGTTGTATAGTTCTATCAGCGTTAGCAGCGTACCGGTCCATCTTGTTAATAAAGCTGATAAAAGGAACGTTGTACCTCCTCATCTGGCGCCATACTGTGTAGGTCTGAGTTTGTACACCGCCTGAAGAGAGTGCGGTTATAAGGGATTTTAACATAGTTAGGAATATCTTCTCATCTTTACTGAAACTGCAAACTAAATTAGGATTTTTGCATTGATTCAAGTGGTTCTAATGAAAATAACTGAAAAAACAACAAATAAACTTGACACGACAAGTGTTTTTACTATAATATAAGAAACTGACTTGAAGCACAGAGAACCAGAATAGCACCATCCAAAACCCTCAGAGCTCGCTCCACTTCAACTGTGAAGTCTATGTGTCCGGGGGTGTCTATCAGGTTCAACTGGTTACCTGTGAAAAAATGGGATTTCACAATTTATTCATACTCTTGATTTATTTCAAAATTTAAAGAGGAAAAATGTATTTAACAAGTTGGATCCTACAGAGCATCCCAGTTAATCAGAACTTAGCTCGTTTCACCACCAACCTTTCCAGAGCAGAGAAGTAGCAGCAGATTTAATGGTGATTCCTCGCTGCTTCTCCAGTTCCATACTGTCCATCTTAGCTCCTACACCGTCCTTACCTGACACAAACATGTGTGTTAAACCTAACCGACTCTGTAAATTGGGAAAATATTGACGGTAGTTATTGTTAGTGAGAATATATACGACGGTCATTAATTGACCTAATAAATAGCAAATGATCGTGAACCAGAACAACAAGTTACCACAAACCTTTGACATCGTGAATAGCGTCTATTCTCCCGCCGTAGAAGAGAATTCGTTCGGACACCGTGGTCTTGCCGGAGTCAATATGTGCTGACACTCCTGACAGATAGTTAATAAGGTGATCTAGTGACAAAAACAGTCATACTTTAAACAGATTTACCCGGATTTGATTAATTCATTTGGTTTCAAAATAGGTGGCTTAGAGCTGTGAGCTAAGCTTTTGAACTCCGGCGAAATCTCGGCCAACTCAATCATCTTTATATCGAATTTGAATAAAATGTTTCAAAAATCAAACAAACCGATATTCCTGATGTTCTCTACTTTGGTTTTGACAACATCGTCAGGGTTGAAGACTTGAGGAGCAGCTGATTGGGCAAGACATCTGTTTGGGCGTGTAGTGGACCGTGCTAATAAATAACAGGGGCGCTTGCCAGGGCGCTGCACTAAACTCCGCAACATTATAGGCTGGCTGCTGGGGAACCTGCCTTAGCCTTCTAAAATAGTAAGGTGTTACTTTAAACTTTTAAACAATGCTTACAAATGCAAACTATGGATTTGTCCACAGTCGTCAGTTAGTCACAGTATTCAAGTTCGTGTACTTTAATCACAGAATATGAATATTAACTGTTCATTGTTCAATAAAAACACCTGGTTGTGAATTACGTAGAATAACAGAAAATAACGGAAGAATGTAAATGAATTCATTAAAAAGCCTCGTATATAGTACGTTCCACCCAACTATTGACTTATTAAATTAAAAGAATAATTTACTTGTAAGGTGCTGAGTTAATTAATATTAATACCAATATCACTGGACAACTGAATGTTGTTGTTTAAAACTCAACATCACCTAAACAAGTTACAAAGTTCCAAAAACTCTTTTTCTTTAGGTACAAAATCATTAACCTGCTCCCAAAGGAAATTATTAAACTGTTTCTCGTTAAAACTTTCTTCAGTACTGACAACAGAGGGAATGATAACGAAAGTAAGGTGGCTGAGATAACTAAAGACTGTTTCTCAGTAAACATACAGTTGAGACTACTTATATTGAGACACGAGACCAGCTTTATCATCACCGAGGAGACCTCACCGTATCTGAAGTTAGTTTTACACAATATCCTCTCTATCGCGGGCTGAAGTTTGGAGATTACGATACTCTGTCTTTGTTGCACCTGGTTGATGCTGTCTATCTTGGGTAAATGTATTGCAGAAACCGGCTCTTTTGGTGCACTGTTCTCTTCTATCTTGATAGAGTCATCTTTAAGATCGGTTATATCTGGTAATGGAGCTTTATTTTCAATCTGAGATATCCTCAGATCGTCATCCAACAAACCCTCCAAGTCATCGTCCTCCTCTAGGTCGTCTGGAGTGGTTACAGTGGACAAAGTACCTGACAAGTAATCAGAGGACTGACTAGTTCTCCACTGAGTCAGACAATGTCTTATAGTTCCAACAAAAGATAGTTCTGGAATACGATTAGTTGTCTCTGATTCGTCCTCAGAAACATCATCATTGTCGTTTAAATCCAGCCATGAAAACTGTCCCTGTACAGATTCCATGATATTTTCCATTGGTTTTATCTCACGGGAAGAAGGTTGTGTCTCTGGTGCAGGATAGGCATGCTCTTTAATAGTTACTGGTGTTTTACTAGCCACCTCCTCGTGAAGATGCTTCTCGTCTATTTTCTGGTTTCTAGGCAGTTCCTCGTCATCTGATTCTTCAGCTTTTAGGGGAACTATTTTAATGTTAGAGTGAGCAGACTTTGGTATGAGCCACACGGGCTCAATAGAGAGCTGATCTCGTAGATTCCTAGAGTAGCTGTAACAAGTTGAACTACAGAACATGTTTCTTTCTTCAAGCTTGTAAACCTTGTTCAACTTTGCATTTATCGCATAAGTTTGTTTTCTGATTACTTTGGGAAGGCTATTCTGGCAGAGGGGATATCCGCAGTTTTTTATTATTGACCGTTCCTCAACAATGTCATTGTAAACACTCTGATTGATGAACCTCAGAGATTTGTTTAGTAACTGATAGGAGACGGGGTTGTCAATTAGTCGCTCTACTATCCGCAACGCTTTCTCTTCCCGAGCTACTCGCTCTAAGATCTTGTCCTTTACTTCCGGGTTTACTGTTCTCTTCTTTGGTTTCTTCCCACGGATAGGAGGGTTTGCTTCTGCCATACCTAAAATATAAATAGTGGTCAATATCAGCTGATAATATTCTTATTAAGTTAGATTGACGAGATCAACATTTTGAAATATTCAAGTGCATCATTATCACCCATATCAGACAATTTTCTTATACGATCAAGATTATGTCCTTGACCCTTCCAACCAACGGGTATTATATTGTATTAAGACACGATACGTCATGAGAGTTTGTAATAGTAATTCATATCACATATAATGAGATAATCGTTCTATCAAGCTAAAATTTGTATTATATCCTAAATTTATATAAAACTAGAAAGCCCGTGGTCACAGGGAGGCAGCTAATAGTATTCTTTGGTAGTCAGTTTTATAGCATCAACAAATATCCATCACAACCGAAGATATAGCCAATTGAATTATAGCTCGCACTGAACACCACGTAATAACAAAACAAAAAACGATCAAAATGCCCCTCTCAAATCCTTGCACGTGCACGTGCAATTTTAACGCCGTTACCATGGTTACTATGCAACTTCCTATTTCTGATCTATTTGCACGTGGGCGGTCGTAGAAATAATTCTTTGAATTTTATAATATAAAATACTAAAAAAATCACAATCTGTCAAACTTTATCCAATAAAAATTATGAAGATCACATGAATCAAATAATAGAAATTAGAAGCCGAAAACGTTTTGTGGTGTTTTGTTACATAAATTGTCAATATTTGATAAACTTTAAGGGAACGTTTTCGCAAACAGCAGAATAAATTAACCCCTGAGTAGTAACTAAAGACCTAATTCATTATGAATCAAATCTATTTGAACATTAACCCAACTCTAAAGATATCCAACTGTTAAAAAGTTATCAACTGTTTTAAACTATAAAGTTATAAAAGCTACCAACTTAATAGAACTATACAAAGGATGTACACGAGTGCAACCAATTTGCCATCTTAACAAGTCACCTTCACCAGTAACCTCACTTACACCCAACTCATTCCATGTAAAAGTGGCTAAGCAGTAGCGCCTGTCGGGCTGTGTATCATTACCATGTTGTATTAAATCGAACGTAGGCAACAAATGAATTTTGTCTGCTTTCACAAACTCAGGATGAATATGAAGTCCCTGAGGATAATCTTCCTGGTCAAAACTGATGTTTACTTTGAACTTGTGGGGTTTCCCTGATTTCATATCAGGGGTAAACTTAAGAATAAATCCACATTTTCCAGGAAGATGACAATCAGTAGTGTCAGGGTGCTTGAAATTAAATGCATAAGATTGTGAGGTCTCAAACAAATCTTTAACTGTACAAGAATTCCAGCTTAATATCTTTTTGTCCGGCCCAACTACTCTTCCAACTCGTCTAACACTCTCTTCCTTAGATGTAAGATCATTGCTATGTTCTTTTATTGTAACAGCCTTTTGGGAGAATCCTGGTGACCACAATTCAATGAATTCAGGCGATATTCTACTCCATCCTCTCTTACGACGAACTATTTCCATTTCATGTACCATGTCACAGGTAAGCCATCCACTGCAGATCCGAAGCCCTTCAATTAACATGTACAAATTAAGTACAAGAGGAGATTCTCTGGCGGTATTAAGATATTCCTGGGTACTCAGTCCTCGAAATCTCTCAAATGAGGAAAATATGTGGGGAATTTCTGTTGCACTTAAAAGATGTGCAGATGCAGGAAGGATGGTCTTATTTAATGGCAAAGAGGAATTTAAACTTATTGTTTTCTTAAACTCTTTCATAGACCGCCTGTACAATGTATTTACAAATAATGCATCAGAATCAGATGATTGTGTAGCACTATCCAAAACATCAAACAGTTCTTCAAAAGAAGCCTCTTCATCAGAAATACACTTACAAAGATCAACATTTTGTAGGAGGTAACGAGAAGCTTCATCAAATATCATTCCCTCACCTTCCAGATTCTTCTTCATTATCTTTAACAAGATAACAGGATTACTGCTTGTAATCTGCAACATTAAATCTAGTTGACTAGTTTCTAGTTCAGAGTAATTCCTCATGTAAGGCTCAACAAATATCTCAGCTCTGTTCTCCAGACTACAAATCTTCTCTAGGACCAGGTCTAGAAACTTGTTACATTTCATGACCCTGCTACAAAACCTGCCCTCCTCAAACAAGAACAACAAAGTCTGGTAATCAGAGGAGGGACTCACCCCACCCACCAGGCTGGTAAAGTAGTCCCCACACCTCCCTGCTAACCACTCTACTTTGAACACGTGACACAGCTTGTTAACATCTCTGAACAAGTCTTTCTCCAGCAGGATCTCCCCGCTGTACAGGGCCCCCAGGAACCTCTTCACTGCCTCCCCCGCAAAGTCCTCCATCTGTAGCTCTGTCTGGTGTAGTTCCAGGAACAGGTGAACAAACACTGAACTGTGGTAAGACAGGATCAGAGAGTTTGCTCTCTTTTCCTCTCCTCCTTGTAACTTTAGGACCACGTTACCGTGAAACTCACAGTGTAGGTTCTCTATTCCAAAATCTAACGGCACTGTCACCTTCGGAGCCATGTTTCTGATAAGGTAACTGATTAGTAGAGGAATTGTAAAATAATTCCTGATATTATATAATGACTTTGATATATTTCTCTCACAAGTAGTTTATTTTAGTAGTTCAAAAAGATAATACGAGTTGTCATTTATGCGTTGTATATTGTATATAATATTACCAGTCAAGCCATGGTTGAAATAATGAAATTTACCTCCGGAGCCATGTTTCTGATAAGGTATGTTATTAGTATTAGAGGAATTATACAGTTATTCTTTATATAATGAGCTTCTGAATGTCTGATTAGATGTTGGATTATGAAAACGTCGAGAATATTCAAGTTAATAGTTATCTTGAAAAGAAATTATTCACATACAATACAATGTTCAAACTTTTATTCCAAACATTCGTATCAAGGTTAAAAAGTGCTACATGCGTGAAAGGTAAGGCTCAGTCATGATTTAACGGGCAAATCCAAACCGAGAGAAGTTAAATCGAATTAAGAAATCTAGATTATAGTAATTGTAACATTGAGACTTGCTTTCTTCAACTATATACAAATCTTCATATCTAACTTACCATCAGCTGTCTAAATTTAAAGAATTCATTAGAAATCACATCTATTTGGAGATTATTCCAACTCTAAGGCTCATGGTAGTCGGGTGCCGCGCGGACTTATCGCTCGGTCGATCGAGCGATAAGTAGCTCCTTATCGCTCGTGCGCGTCGTCACTTCAAGCACAATTGCGCGTCGTATCGTACTCGATGCTTGCCAAAGAGCTTTAATACTTTGGTTTTGGCGTGTTACATCTGAAGTCCAGAAGATGAATCCGAGATTGTGGAACCAGATGATACGGTTTTTGAGGCATTTTGATACGGTCATTTCAGTCTTTTAAAGTAGTTTCAGAGTGCTGGAAATGGTTGTACGGTGTAGGGGGATGTGTTTACTAACTATTTTGACGTCAAAATTGTCGCCAGAGGCTCCCTGAGTCATGGAATGAACGGAATGAACAAAAATGAATTTTTTTTCTAAAACTCGTCGGATTGCCCCAAAACAGGTAGGAATCGTTTGGTATTGATCCTGATAGTGTTCCTACAAAGTTTGGTGGCCCTAGCACTCCCAGAACGCCCACTAGAGACTTAATTCCATTTCCGTATCAAAAAGCTGGTTCCTGAGTATCCGATATTGATACGGTCATTTCAGTCTGTTAAAGGGGCTGCAGAGTGCTGGAGATGATTGTACGGTGTAGGGGGATGTGTTTACTAACTATTTTGACGTCAAAATAGTCGCCCAAGACTCCCTGAGTCATGGAATGAACGGAATGAACAAAAATGAAATTTTTTTCTAAAACTCGTCGGATTGCCCCAAAACAGGTCGGAATCGTTTGGTATTGACCCTTATAGTGTTCCTACAAAGTTTGGTGGCCCTAGCACTCCCAGAACGCCCACTAGAGACTTAATTCCATTTCCGTATCAAAAAGCTGGTTCCTGAGTATCCGATATTGATACGGTCATTTCAGTCTGTTAAAGGGGCTGCAGAGTGCTGGAGATGATTGTACGGTGTAGGGGGATGTGTTTACTAACTATTTTGACGTCAAAATAGTCGCCCAAGACTCCCTGAGTCATGGAATGAACGGAATGAACAAAAATGAAATTTTTTTCTAAAACTCGTCGGATTGCCCCAAAACAGGTCGGAATCGTTTGGTATTGACCCTTATAGTGTTCCTACAAAGTTTGGTGGCCCTAGCACTCCCAGAACGCCCACTAGAGACTTAATTCCATTTCCGTATCAAAAAGCTGGTTCCTGAGTATCCGATATTGATACGGTCATTTCAGTCTGTTAAAGGGGCTGCAGAGTGCTGGAGATGATTGTACGGTGTAGGGGGATGTGTTTACTAACTATTTTGACGTCAAAATAGTCGCCCAAGACTCCCTGAGTCATGGAATGAACGGAATGAACAAAAATGAATTTTTTTTTCTAAAACTCGTCGGATGGCCCCAAAACAGGTAGGAATTGTTTGGTATTGACCCTAATAGTGTTCCCACAAAGTTTTGTGGCCCTAGCACTCCCAGAACACCCATTATACCCTTGGCTGGATTCAAGAATTTAGAACCAGTTGAGCAGATAAAACGGATTTTGAGAAATTTTGTCTGCTTGTGTTGTTGCAGAGAGTTGAATTTGGTTCAACAGTATTCAAACAAGATGTGTTCCAACTTAGTTTTGTAGCCCTACCAGTTTCAGAACGTCCACTAGAATCCGGTTCCATTTTCTTCCAAGAAGCTGTAGACAAGGTTGTTTGAAATTTAAATTTAACCTCTCTGGTAATACAACTTTTTACTTGGATGGATTTCAATAATTAAAGAGAGCAGATTGTTACTTTGTTATTTTTGAGATTTGATTTTTTGATATCATATGTATAAATGTATAAATCAGTTTCTACAAATTGTAACAGCAATTGGCAGTAATAAAGCGGTAGTAATAGTTTTGCACAACATCAATCATAATATCATTCAA